TGAACGTGTGGAGTAACACCATGAGAAAACACTGAAAAATGACCTTAAGGAGAAGGTCTTGAAATATGGAAAGTGTCACATGCTAACAATTAGTCACAAAGTAGCTAGGGTCAAAAAATGTAGGACGCTTCTCAAGCGGTACGGTGCAAAAAAATTTATTTTTTCCTGCTTACGAATGAAAAAATCTTTACAACGGAAGCGAACTTTACCAAACAAAACGAAGGTTATATGTCAAATCTGTCAAGGATTTGCCCATAACAGATAGAAAGGTCAAAAGGTCACACCATCCAGTGTCAGTCATGGTTTGGGCGGGAGTCAACGGAATCGGGCTGCCGCCCTCCATTTTGTTGCATAGGGAGTGCAGATGGCGGAAAAAATTACTTGGCCGACGTCAAAAACAAAGTAGTATATCCCCTCGACGAATCCTTATTTACTGGAAATCCGGGAAGCTTCATGCAGGACTCTGCACCAGCACACAAGGCAAAAATCGTGCACACCTGGCTAAAACAGCACATTTCTGACTTCATTTCCACTGCATATTGGCCCTCAGCATCCTCGGATCTGAATCCAATGGACCATGAAATATGGACTAAACTTCAGGAGAAGGTCTATTCTAAGCCCCATGAAAGTGTCGAGGACCTAAAAAATCTACTCCGGGAATAGGACGAGTTGTCGATGGATGGAATGCGTAATTCCATTGCGGCTTGGCATTCTCGTCTGCAACAATGCATTCATGCAGCGGGAGGAGATTTTGAAGCATGATACATGTTTTCTATTCGAAATTTAACTGGCTTTTCAATGGCGGGAAAATAAATATCAAATTCCTCAAAACCACTATATATGGACCGACTATGTAGAAACCCGTAGCAGATATACTTTTAAAAAAATAGTGTAACACATGGGTGGATAGGATTTCCTTTAATGAATTATTAAATCAGGTGTGTCTGTTAGTAAACTTTCTTACAAAGGCATACTGATCCGGCGGTTGTCCTTGTAGTTATTGTTGAAGTATTCAACCAGAATGTTTCATTATATTGGGCAAATTTAGATGTTCTTCATCTCATGGGGTAGCTGGTTGCAGAGAATCGAAGTAGATTTCCACTACTGGCGTTTACTAAAATTTCCACACATGCATTATTTATTGCCGAAATGTCCTGTTGATCTTATAAAGATAAAAGAATGTTAATCCTAGCCACCTTCCTGCTGACATGATTTTTTTTTCCTGAAAAATGTTGGCTTTGGAGGAAAATCACGATTTTTTCCGGTCGAGGTCCAAATTCCGACGATATATGGCATTTACGATACTGATGATGATAAGGTAAATTATATGAATATTTATATACGTACAAACGTGGGAAGGACTTCTAGAAAGTCAGGAATCGGCAGACGGTTCCAAAACCACGAAAGCCTGGTTCAAGAGAGCAATTTTGAACTTTATTTCTGCTGAGGAATTTAGCTCCGCATCGGTGAACCTCAGCGCCCAGGACGATGACATATGTATGTATGTATGGTCTAAATTGGAGCCAGTTGCATATGTTACACCACACAAGAGCTTGGATTCTCTCAAAATATGACTGACCAAGAAATGGGATGCGTGTCCGCGGGAACGTATGCGTACCGCGATCGAGCAGTGTGTACCCAGACTGGAGGGGTGCGTCGCCGCTAATGGAGGACATTTTGAAAACTGATTATCGTGGTTTGTACAGAATTTAATAGGCTTTCTTGTGGCGTTATTGGTTTTTCCGTCTTCTATAAACTGTGTTTGTCAAAGCTGTTTGAACGTGTTTCACTAGTTTTGAGAGTACTAGGTAGGATAAAGTGCTGGGGTCTGATGGTCGGGTTAAACTGTAGAGGGAAAAAAAGAAGCACTGATAATGAACAACTTGAGCCCCACCTTAAAACGTGGAGGAGGCAATGTAATCGTGTGAGGTGGTTCCAGCTGCACAAATCCTGGAAAAATGGAGTTTGTTGAAACAAGTATGTACCAAAACGTTTACCAGGATCTTGTGGAGAAGAATATCAAAAGATTGGCTGACCAATTGGGATAGCGCGGACGATACAGCACCCAATATGACAATGATCCCTAGCATAGCGCTAAGTCGAGTTAGGCATTTAGGCAGTTAGGCAACTCAAACAAAAATGAAGAACGTTACTGTGCTGGACCGTCCTCCACAATGCCCCAATCTGACCCTCATAGAACACTTGTGGGATCACATTGAGAGACAATTCCGAAAAACGCCCATTTCGAATACGAGCCAGCTCAAAAGAAGGATTACTGACGCCTGGAATACTACGTCACCGGAAGTAACCACAAATCTCGTCAAAACAATGAAAAAATATTGTATTACCGTTTTTGAAGGGATAGGAGCCCCAGCTAGATATTCAACATCTACAATTAAGAAATAAACTAAATGTACCCCTAAATCAGAATGAAACCCTGAAAAATCTACTCAATTTTGCTCGCCTGATATTTTATTTTTTACAAAAGTGCGCATAATTTAGTGGCTTGCTTTATACTCACCATAACGCTCTTGGCCACTCTTAAAGGTTATTAAATTCTGTAAAATGTGCAAAAAGAATCATCGAATTCGACTAAGTAGTTGCTGAGATTTCGAAGTGCGAAGCAAATAATGAGCCCGATATATTCAATTTTGCACGCTAGTGGAATTTACAGTAATAAATACACGTATTATTAAACATTTTGATTTTTTTTTGTGAAACTCATGGATCTACATACACCTCACTAAGGATATACATTATTGAAGGCTGCTAGACTTCAACATTATTTGTACTGCATTGCAAGATACTACAGGAATCACACGAAATGACGCAGCTTGGAGTTTCATGACCGTTTTTGTCCTCGATTTAAGTACATTTGCAGTGGAGAGGGTAACAGAAGTTTAAGCTGGGCATTTTAAGAAGAGATAGTTTATCATTAAAAATGCGTACAGAATTAACTCTCAAACCAATTTCACTCTTGACTGGGCAGGAATTTCTATCGCCAAAATCGCGTGCCGAGTTTTGAAAATTTGAAAAACACCATAAAATTTCACATTTTCGAAAAATTTTGAAAAGGTATTTTTTAAAAATACAGAAAGAATTTCTGTCCATATGTATTTGTTTTGCCATTTTTACATTGCCGCCAAAATTCAAAAAGTTAGAGCGATTTAAATACCCCATGTTTTGCGAATTATTTAAAATTGCCGCCACGCGCTCAAATGCGCGCATTAGGAAAAAAGCCAACATACTGGTCCGCTTATTTTTTGGGGCGAATAAATTAAAATTTGTCCCATCGTGATCGGAGTTTTACACGAGTAATTGCATTATGAATATTCAAACAACCATAGGCTGTCGATCCGTGGGGACATTGCGGGGACAATAACATTGTAAAATAGGAATGGGAGGAGCTTAATAACATTGGGAGCATAAGGAAATTCTAAATTTCGGCGGGGACAATGTACCCGATGTCCCCACGGTTCCGCAGCCCCGGCCAACAACCCAATCCGGATTTGAAGAATTGAAACGAATCTGCTACTTCTAATTAGTTGGGGTGCATGGGAAGCTTCGGTGGAACCGCAGAATTGCGTCACTGAGATCCGAACTTTACTGGAATGCATACTTTCTGCAGTTACCAATACGTCCTATCCTGGATACTTTTAACAACTCGAATAACAATGCAAGTATGAATTAGTTTTGGCAACAACTTTGGGATGGTTGATCTCCGTCCGAGTCAGTATGACAACTTTATTCACAACAACCCGATTTGACTGTTAGTTATAAGGATTTACTTTTGATGAGAGATTTAAAACCCTGCCAGCGTTCACAACATATATTTCCAACCCGATTGACAATCCTATAAAGTGTTGTTTGACTTTAGGCCGATTTTTCCTGTGTATAAATATATGAAGAAGATGCAAGAGTACATATGTAAGCGTGTGTATAGATAGATAAATATGTATTTTGGCAATTATGTAGGTACGTACATACATAAATTCATATTATGTATTTGTACATGTATGTATGTACATATATATGTATGTACATATGCACATATGTAAATTAGTGTGCATTTATAAATACATAATTGTACTTCAATGGATACAATGGCAAAATTTCCTTTCTTAAATAAGTTCTCCACTTTTTCCAACGGTTTCACTTTATTTCGAATGACTTTATTTCTCAATAACGTGGAGGAGTATTAATTTTGCGTGAAGAGAGCACTTTCATCATGCAAAACTATTACTCGCACTCATCTGTACAGAGATACCCAAATACTTAATTAAATATGTATGTACTGTATATATTTACATACATTGTACATATATATATGTGTGTGTGTGTGTGTGTGTATATACTTGCATACGTACATATTTATGTACGGAACGAGCTTGGAACAGATATCTGCATAATTGCAAAATGCCCATTTGCATGTGTATATTCTTCCTTATGTAGATATTTACCTAACCTCCTTCATATATACATATAACTTTAGCCAAGTGTATCAAGTTACAGTCAAATAATTAGCTTAAAGAGAAAATTTATACATGATCGACCATTCATTAAATTCATTCCGTCTTGAACTTTAAGATCACCCATTGATGTCGCCAAATTTATGTAGACAACAGACCAGAGTTCGTCGCTATAACTCAGGACCACACTGGGTTTTTGCTGTATTGCGTATTCGTGTATGTAGATATTTTTGGACTCCAGAACAAAAAAGAAAATGTGATGAATACGTCGTTAGTCGAAATGAACATTCACGACTACACATTGTTGTTTTTATCGTATCTTACAAAATTGTATTATGCCAAAAGCTAGATCCGGATCCGTATGCCGCACGATGTCAGAACCTGAATTAAGCCGACTCCATCGGAACCCTGAACAATGTCACAAGCTTTAAAAACAGCACTTCTTTACCTTGAGATTTCAGACAAGATCATCTCCCCAGCTTAATCAACTGCGTTTTAAATTAAAAAATTATTAATTAACCTGCCTAAAAAATGAGGTTGATTTTCAGTATCCTAATTTCACTCATTTTTTCATTATTTGTCTCACCAGCTATCACCGATTCTGAGGAGGAAGATGATGCCGCCTGGTTTTCATTTTCGTCCTCCGAGGAAAATCAGGAATTGAGCCGAAACCAATCCAAAGTTAAGAAATCGACTTCACCAAAAGTTTTACGATGGGATAGAGCCGGCCTTTGTGACCATGACGTCTTCACATCGGTCATGCTCAAATTAATTTTGGACGCGCAAGATAAAATGACAGCTGGTGACAATAGCACCGGACTGATGCCACTGGATCCCATTTTTATCCCAGAAATCGTTATAGATCCAGAAAAAATGAGAAATTCGGGCAGTGATGGGGACGAGGATAGTTCTTCAAAGATAAGAGGAACCTTTAGGTGCGTAATTCATTTATGTAAATAATTACGAAACTATAAACACTGTATACCCAAATATGATTTTTCAAATTTCCAACCGATTTTATAGCGACATCTACATTAAGGATTTATCTAAATTTAACGTCACCGGAATTAACTTCGATTTACCAAATATGTTTCTCAATGTGTCCCTTGTTTTCGAATCCGTAACAATTTCAGGTAACTCGATCAAGATAAAATTTACTGTCCCAGTAATTTGTCAGCTAAGGATCCATCCATAAATTATGAAACACAAGGGTGACAGAGAGGATATCATGAGGCACGTTATGCTCAATTTGCATCACATGTTAAGACCAAAGTCAAGTCACTGACATTAAGGGACATTAAGTGACAAGTGACGTTTAGATACAAATTGGGGTTACTTGGAACAACTTCTTTATAATACATTTTCAAATCAAACTACCGCCGTATTCTCAATCTCCTTCTGAGAATTTTCATTACTGACTCGATAAACTTAGGATGAACTTTATTCTAACATCCGTTTCAAGTGTAAAAAATCTTACTCCGGAAGGGGACCGAGTCAATAATGAAAATTCTATAGAAATTTAAAGAGATTGAAAATAGGTCGCTGGCGTGATCTGAAAATATATTGTAAAGAATGTTTTCCAATTCACCCCGATTTATGACTTGATGGCACTTAATGCCAACAAATGTCAAGTGGCAACAACCGGTTAGTGTCATACATATAATGTCAGTGACTTAATGTTACTTAGCAATGTCACCCAAAACCTTGGTTAAGAGTTGGGTAACTTTGATACAAGGATGACTGGAGAAGTTCGAAAATTGGAATTTTTGTGTTACGTAATTTAACGACGGACACTAAATTCCAGACTGGAATTTCCAGTGCCCTATTTACTAGCCGAGCTGTTCCAAATTTGAACACCTTTTTGGGAGATTTATAAGTTAAAGTCGTTGGATATTATTAAAGCAATACATAAGTTCTAATTTCTAATTTCTACGCAGGAACCGGTTGCCTTAAAGCGGGCCCCCTTCAACTACCGATTTTTGGCAAGGGGAAATTCCTATTTAAACTGAGAAACGTGAACACCTTCATTTCTGCAAACTTCGGTACCCACGCCAACGAAACGAGATACCTGAAAGATTTCGACTATGGTCTGACCCTTAAAACTCTACATGCCGATCTCACGCCACCACTTCGTGCCGTCGTGGGGTTGGACAGAATGTGGAACCCCTTCGCTCGAATGACGAGTGGGCTGCGTGCCAAAATTTTCAACAGATTGGAGCAAATGCTACATCCACCCTTGAGGGAGCGAGGGAGCCAAGAAATTTCCAAGCGGATGGGGGTTTGAACATTTAGATTACAAACTGAAAATGATGTTTGATAAAGCAAAGTTGGCTAACTTTTTCTTACTCCTTTTTCAGAGATGGAAAATGTTAAATGAAGAAATTATGGAGAACATGATAAATCATTCTGTGTTCTGTTACTTTGGCTAAGGACAATTTTCTAATCATCCTCAGCACCATTTTCCATCGAGATTTTGGAGTCACGAGTTTAAGAACTTAAATATGTGTAATCGAAGAATTAAATACAGAATTCAGGTTGATAAATCTTGTATACGCGTTTAATGTATAAATACTTACATAATATATGTAACGTATATATGTATATGCATACTTCGCATAATATCGATACCGCTACATGGCTACGAATATTTGTAAAAATGGTAGCATAGCTGAAAGTTTGTGTAATTTTTTGTAAATCAATAATCCCTCACAATATTGGGGTAGTGCTCAGCCAGATATTGAGATATTAGCAAACACATGCAAATTTTATACAAAATTTGGTAAATGTCATTTTCTACCGATACCTTTTCAATTTGGGTCACAAATCGTTTAAAATATTCCCCACAAGTAAATATTTTGGACTAGACCTTAAATCGTTACAATCCAATTAGAGGTAGTCCCATCACACGCAATTCCACAATTTTCGAATTTAGTTCAAATTTAATTCGATTCGGTTTGATCTGGCTTTCGAATTAAACTGGTTGCTCACTTCGATTCGAATGTTAATTAGAATCGAACTCAATTGCCGCCCGAATCGAATATGTGAAGTGTTCGTTCGTTCCAACTGAATTCGGAGTATTGTCTGCAATGGTCGTTGACCTTACCCGGAGTACAACAAGTCCAGTGCCATCACATCTTTGAAAGAGGCAAGATGAGACTTCAGATGCTTTGGGCTGTACCTCCCCCACATCCCCATCGTATGGGTGGAAACTATTTCTCTCCATAGTTAAACGCTCGTCATATGTACATATTTCTATATAAATATCGTCACAACTTGACCACCAGTAAATTTGACACGTAAATTCTTTCACTTTACATATGTACATATGTATGTACCTCAGAATCATAAATTGCGCACATTTTGGTGTCGGTGTCAATGCTCAGCTAGTTCGACATGTTGGAAGGTTTCCTTGTCAGAGTGAATCAAAGTACGTATTTCTAACGAGGTTGCATATAAATGGAGGATAAACAAGATACATAATCTGCAGTTTATAAGTAACAGATGTATGTACATATGTATGTACATATGTACAAACTCGTACACACGTATTTATACGTGTACTTATGCAGTAGGCAATGTTTTGTGCCTTTGGTGTATATATGAACAAATGTATCGGGTGTAACTGTTAACGTACTATTTTAGTTCGAATCTAATGAATGAAGGATTAATCCTTGCAAAAACTTAAACTTCTATGGATCTGGTGGTACGTTAGATGTCAAGTAAAAGGTCACCTGATCAATTTACTGTGCATGCAAGCTTGCATGAATTGTATATCCCTTGTATGTATGTACTCGTATAGGTACAACCTAATATGGACATATGTGCATATATGGATGTAAAGAGGATGGGGTATATATAGTATCTTATTCCATGGGGGTGACAAAATGAGACATTCGTCTTAAAATGAGATAACTTCTCATTCGTATTAATGAATGAGCAAATATATATGTATGTATTTATCATGACGAAATTTGAAAGTTACTCCAATTTAACCACAATTATGGAATACCTAGAATTTCAACGGGGGGGGGGTGGGAAATACTTCTTTGTTCCGCTTTTGAAATACGCATACATACATGCATAAAATATGTACGTTTATGCATAAAATTCGAAAATATAATTTTTTTACTCAATTTTTACGCAATTATAACTAGTCAAGTTTCTATTTATCAGCAGGCAGACAAAAATTGTTTAGAATTCCAAAATTGCATTAGACAATTATAATCGCTGGAAAATTCATCACAAAATATGAAATAATCTAGTTTTATTTACTTCCCAAAGATTTATTTGTGAACATATATATGTCTTTATCATAATTTTAAGTACTTACTTAATAAATACCTTAATAAAAATTATTAACTATTTTAATAATTTAATTTTGATTTAATTCACATGATTTAGTTTTAACGTTACACGGGCTAATTAGTTTTTCATCAAACTCACATCTCAATTCACTCCAGGGTCGGTAATGAAATGATGTAGGAGACATTAAACGGCGACGCAAACGTCTAAAAATCCCCCTTGACACCTCCAACCGCAGGCAGCAAGAAATTTACAGGTTCGACCACCACCACACTCGAACTCTGACTCATTGCCGGTACACCTTTGTGCCGTGCAGATACAGGCGATCTGGGCGTTAGGGTTTCCAATGAATCCACCGGCTGCATTTTCTACCCGAGAAAGGGCGATCACTCCTAAAATCAAAATCACGGCGAAAAGAATCCTCATCCTGAAAAAACTAATTTATACATTGTTAGAAATGTGAATTTAGATTTCCCTGTGAATTGTCACGCAATTGAGACTTGTTATAAAAACTTAATTGTTAAAAATTAATAACAACATAATGTCTTACTTTTCAACAATTTAGTGTGTAACGGGATGACAGGGAAAACTACAAAGTTCTTGGATTTGGGCAAGTCTTGAAGTGACGAGTATTTTAAGAGTGCAATGATTTTATCCACTTTTATATTTTGCGAAATGGCGATGTGTTACATATACATATATAACTATTTACATATCAATATTTAATGATACGTAAAATAGGTTTATGCATGTGCAAGTTACAGATTCAAATAATGTTACTTTATCCTCGCTTCAGCATAAATTGATCCAACCAACGATTGAGTACATATCTCGTTGTTAATATTTTAACTTACTCGATCGACGCCGTAAAAAAACTTTTTGATACAAACTTAATCAAACTTTATCCCAGGACATGTGCAATCTGTGTTGGCTTGTTTTTCGCATCGAGCAGATGCGAGATTCGCCACCATGTCCATATGTATGTAGAAAGTTCGTTCAATGTCAAGTTGACGGTCACCAGATAAGTTTGCTTGACCACAAGTACATAAGCAACTTTGTTCAAAGATTGAATCCTTATGTATTTTTATTCCTTTACGATTGCAACCTTACAGATTCAAAGATGTCCACGTGCCGTCTGCATGTCCATATGTATGTATGCGCATATCACATGACCTGTAACGGCATGCAAATTACATACACGGAAGGATGCATGTACATACGCTTGTTCATTTATCGTACAAATGTATGTATGTGCATAGGTAGAAAAATCATATTTTATTACCACTGAGGCAATACATATTTATATATGTATAAATATGTACATATGTACATACATACATACAAAGTAAATAGTTCCATATATTCGGATAAACCTACACATATAAACGTATTGGGTTTAGCTACCAACGTACTATTTTAGTTCGAAGCTAACGAGTGAGTGAAGGATTAATTCTTGCAAAAACTTAAACCTGTGTGGATCCGTTGGTTCATTAGGTGTCAAGTAAATAAAAGGTCTCCGGATCAATTTACTTTGCATGCGAGCTTCTCTGAATTATCCACACTCTTAGAAATCCGGTATTCAATTAATATGTACCAAACAGTATTCATACATATATGACTTTACCAAAGTGGTATTAATTATGTAATAATACCATTTGGTAATATCTCGGTATTAAATAAACTCTTACCATGGAGGTAGCAACTCTGTACTCCCCGGTATAATTTTAATACCAAACTTAATACCAAGAAATCAATACCTGCGTGACTATATCGGATTTATAACAGCGCATCAATAGCACATGTACTCGTTTAGGTACAATCCGACGTGTACAAATGTATGTAAAGAGGATGGGATGACAAGGTGACATGTGACAATTAGACATGTGTCTTAAAATGAGATAACTTTTCATGACGAAATTTTATAATTACTGCAAGTTAATCAAAATTAGTTGATAACTAAAAAATCCTTAATGTTTTTCTTTTGAAATGCACAATCGTGCATGTTGAAAAATCTAATTTTTTTACTCGAATTTTCTATGTAATTAGAAGTACAATTTATGTAAGTTTTTATTTATCAGAAGACAGACACAATATTGATTAGAATTTAAATAAATGTTGCATCCAACAATTAAAAAATGGTTTTAGAATTCAGCCAAACGTATGAAATTAATTTAAATTAATTTTTTTATAAATAGATTTTATTTCCTTCCCAAATATTTATTTGTTAACATATAATTTGTTATAAAATGTAAAATAATCTGTGTATTTAAAGTAATAAATACACGGATTAAACATTTTGACATTTTAATTTTGATTTAATTCAGAATATTTAAATTTAAAGTTGAATGGGCTTAATAGATTTTCATCAAACTCACATCTCAATTCACTCCAGGGTCGGTAATGAAATGATGTAGGAGACATTAAACGGCGACGCAAAGTTGAAGAAATCCCCCTTGACACCTCCAACCGCAGGCGTCAATAAGTTTACAGGTTCGACCAATACCACACTCGGACTGTGGGTCATTTCCGGTACACCTTGGTGCCGTGCAGACACAGGCGGACTGGGCGTCAGAAAGGGCGATCACCCCGAAAATCAAAATCACTACGAAAAAGATCCTCATCTTAAAAAAACAAGTTATATAATGTTAGAAATGTGGTTTTAAATTAAGATTTCGTTGACTTGTCCTACAAGTGAGATTTTTTTATAAAAACTGAATTGTACAAAATTTAAAAAATGTATTATTTACTTTTCAACAATTTAGTGTGTAACGCGAGGACAAGGAAATCTACGAGGTTCTTGGATTTGGGCAAGTCTTGAAGTGACAAGTATTTTAAGAATGCAGCGATTTTATCCACTTTTATATTTTGCGAAAGGGCAATGTGTTACATATTTATAACTACATAGGTAATCATATTTAAGGATACGTAAACAAATTTATGTATACATACATATGAAAGCTACATATTCAAATAATGTTACTTTATCCTCGCTTCAGCATACATAAAATAATCCAAACCACGATTCAGTACATATCTATCCACTTAGTAATACATATGTTAACTTACTCGTTCCAGGGCAAAAAAATCTTTCTGATAAGAACACACAAATACACAAATAATACACAAATACACAAATATGCAGGTAATATATTTAAATAGTATTACTGTATCCTCGGTTTAGCATACATAAATTATTTAATCCCACCAACGATTGAGTACATATGTATCTTGTTATTGATGTTAGCTGACTCGATCGACGCCATAAAAAAATCATTCTGATAAGAACCTTATCCCAAGACATGTGCAAACTGTTTTGGGTTGTTTCGCACATCAAGCAAGTAAATATTTACAACGTCCATGTGTAGAAAGTTCGTTAAATGTCACGTTCACGGTCACCAAAGTTGAGTTTGCCTCGCAACAAACTTGCAAGAAACAAGCTTTATTCAACGGTTGCATCCTTTTAAAGATGTTCCCGTGCCGCGTTTATGTACGTATGCTCATATCACATGACCCGTAGCGTCATGCATATTACATGAAAGGATGTACACTTTTTCATTTATCGTATAAATGTGTTTGAATATGCAGAAAAATCATATTTTATGACCACTCAGACCATATGTACATACTTACATATATAGATGTGTACATTTGTATATTCATACCTATGAAGAATTGGAGAATGAGCTGAGCTCTTCGGGTACGCCTCAATTTTTGCTGTTGTACATTTGATTTCCGAATTACAAATTTTTTTTTCATGCATTTCGTAGTTTTCTCTGACGACGCGACAGTTGAGCCTGTGCCCACCAGCTGGGTTATGTTTGGTAATAAAATTTGCAAATATCCCAGTTTGGAAATTATAACTGCTGCCAACCTGTGAAAACTAATAAATAGCGGAGCTCCTCCTGAAACCATCTGGACAATTATAAGCTACATACTTGCACAATTAGATAATAAATAATTTGAAAACAGAATTTCAGTATAATTTTTGACTTGTCACTGAAGACATCAGTCTGAAGTATGTATATTGATTTTTAAGAACTATTCAAAATTCTTGCTAGATGCAACGCTAACTTGACACAAGGTACATTCGGGGTAGACCCAGATTCCAGACTCACTCACTACCTGAGAAAACGACGTTCACCCCGCTCCCGCGTACATACATAGTTCTGAAGACATCCCAAACTACAAGTTAAGATTACGACACATCGAATTCATCTCTGACGTTCTGTAAATTGTTTCACCTTACATACGTCAGAATTTTTAATTCTGCATATTTTGGTATAGGTGTCCATCCTCAGCTAGTTTAACACCTTGGAAGGTTCCCTTTTAGCAGGCAGTGTTTTATGCCTTTGATGTGCATACCAGAGGTCAACGCGGCCGATTGTACGCCGCTGCGCCCCCAAATGCCGGCATCATTTTAGGCGCCCCCGCCGCCGATAAATCGAATTTCCTACATATACCTTTAAAGTTGAGACGCCGCGCCGCGCCGAAAAGTGAAGAAAATTGGCGCCGCCGCAAAATTGGTCGACGTTGACCACTGGTACATACACATATGTGCATGCATTGGGTTTAACGAGTGAACGATTAATTTGTGCAAGAACTTAAAACTTGTGTGGATCTGCTGGTTCGTTAAGGGTCAAGGAAAAGGTCACCTGATCAATTTACGGTGCATGCACAGTCGCATGATCCATGCGAGCTAAATAGATAACTATTATCTACATATTTATAGTACATTTATGTATATTTGCAATCCCATATGTGCATAAATATGTAAAGAGGATGGGATGACAAGGTGAGACATGTGTCTTTAAATGAGACAACTTCTCAATAGTGTTAAAGTATGAGCAAAATTTATGACGAAATTTGAAAGTTACTGCAATTGAATCAAAATTATTTGATAACTAAAAAGCCATCTTTTTCACTTTTGAAATGCACAAATGTGCAAGTTCGAAAATTCAATTTTTTACCCGGATTTTGTATGTAATTCTAAATAAAATTTATGTTAAGTTTTTACCGATCAGAAGACAGACACAATATTGATTATAATTTAAAAAATATTGCATCCAACAATTAAAAAAATGGTTTTAGAATTCACCAAAACATATGGCATAGTCCAATTTTATTTCCTTCCCAAAAATTTATTTGTTAACATATCATAATTTACAGTATGGCTTATTCAACATTTTGACATTTCAATTTTGACTTAATTCAAATTATTTCGTTTTAATGTTAGATGGACGCATTAGTTTTCATCAAGCTCACATCTCAATTTACCCCAAGGTCAATAGATAGTGAAATGATTTATGGCAAACTAAATTGCGACGCAACTTTGAAGAAATCCCCCTTGACACCTCCAACCGCAGGCCTCAATAAGTTTACAGGTTCGACCAATACCACACTCGTATAGTGGGTCATTTCCGGTACACCTTGTTGCCGAACAGACACAAGTGATCTGGCCGTGAGAAAGGGCGATCACCGTTAAAATCAAAATCACGACGAAAAGAATCCTCATCCCAAAAAAACAATTTATGTCGTGTTATAAATTTTAATTAAGATTTTAATTTAGATAAATTTATGTTAGTCTTTCACGTAATTGAGATTTTGTTATAAAAATTTGATTCTAAAAAATCAACAAAATCAGTTACCTTTCAGCAATTGAGCATGTAACGAGATGACAAAAATAATTACAAGGTTCCTTGAGATAGGCAAGTCTTGAAGTGACGAGTATTTTAAGGATGCAACGATTTTATTAACTTTTGTATTTTGGGAAATACATATGTAGCAGTGTGTTACATATGTATGTATGTATGTATGTACAACTGCATACATATGTGCATAATCATATTTAATGATTCGTAAACAAATTTATACATACATACACAAATGTGCAAGTTATATATTTAAATAATATTACTTTATCCTCGGTTCAGCATACATAAATTATTTAATCCCACCAAAGATTGAGTACATATTTATCTTGTTATTGATATGTTAGCTGACTCGATCGACGCCATAAAAAAATCCTTCTGATAAGAACCTTATCCCAAGACATGTGCAATCTGTTTTGGGTTGTTTAGCGTATCAGGCAGAGTAAGTACAACGTCCATGTGTAGAAAGTTCGTTAAATGTCACGTTCACGGTCACCAAAGTTGAGTTTGCCTCGCAAGAAACTTGCAATAAAGAAACTTTGTTGAACGAATGCATCCTTTCAAAGATGGGCACGTGCCGCGTGAATGTACATCTGTATGCACGCATTAGATGACCCGTAGCGTCATGCATATTATACGTAAAGATGTATGTACATATACATACAGACAGATGCATATGCATATATAGAGGTATGCATCTACATATATGTACGTGCACGAATCCTGAGATGAATCATATTTACAGACTACTTCACTAATAAGATCCGCCAACTCCTTTATGGTTTGTTTCACACAAGACTTGCATATTATTTCGATTATGTAAATCTTTATCGACTCAGGTTAAATACCTTTTTATTTGGAATAGTTACATAAAAATTTATTATTTTCGTTATTCCCGTCCACTGTGAGGTTATAAATTTGCCCACCCACTTTCATACTTGCACGTGTACAATTCTGTATTAACGATGGAACAACAATGTTGAATTCCACTTTAAGAAATACAGTATATAAAATATGTTCCAGACCCCACCACTTTTTCCATGGGAATTTTTATAACGTCTGAACTGCTTCATGGAATTGAACCAAATTGTCCACATTCTGTAAGCATTAAATACTCTATTAATTGAGATAAGCATCAATCTGCCTAAGGAGGAGAACGTCTGTACCTTGCAACGTCAGATTTTGATGCCCTTTGGATATGTTGTGGGGCCTGGTGAGTGTAGGAAAAGTGAAGGAGGGTTAAGCTCCATGGGCCCTCTAACGCCCGCCACACCCCTTTGAAGGGGCACCCAATGCTGAACTAGCCCCATTCAAACCTTTGCCAAAAATCCAATTTTGATCGGATTTTGAAAATTCTTGCACCATTGTAGTCTCCGATAGTTGCTTTATCATATCCAATAGCAATATCACCAATTTTGAAACTTTTGAAATTTTTCATTTTTTTCTGAGCGTCTTAAAAAAAATTGAGAAATTTCAAAAGTTTTAAAATTGGTGATATTGCTATTGGATATGATAAAGCAACTATCTGGGACTACAATGGTGCAACAAATTTCAAAATCCGGTCAAAATTGGATTTTTGGCAAAGGTTTGAATGGGTCTAGTTTAGCATTGGGCGCCCCTTCAAAGGGGTGTGGCGGGCGTTAGAGGGCCCATGGAGCTTAACCCTCCTTCACTTTTCCTACACTCACCAGGCCCCACAACATATCCAAAGGGCATCAAAATCTGACGTTGCAAGGTACAGACGTTCTCTTCCTAAGTGACATATATGCATTATATAGAGAGAAATTAAAATAACCTACGTCAAAAAAGTAATCAGACCCTCAATAAATTTGCAATGAATTGTTTTATATTCCATATTTGAACAATATTTCACTAGTATTAGTAATTGGTATGTCCACTGTAAGCCTCCACGAGGGCCGTGAAACGTCTTGGCATTGATTCCATCAACGCGTTTGTAAACGATGTGTCAAGTTGTTCCTACTCCAATTTGATCGCTTCCTTAATCTCCCCAAGTTTCCAGGATTGCGTTTGGCAATTCTTGCTTTGATAATTGACCACAAGTGCTTAATTACATTCATGTCTGGAGACTGTGGAGGCCAATTGAGAACTTTAATATTACTAGAGGAGAGCCAATTCGTCAATAATCTTGAACTGTGTGCACGGTCCCCGTCGAGTTGAAATATGAAACTGTTTCCCAGCCAAAGTTTGTTTCTAGATGTTATCAAATTTGTTTCCAGAATATCGCGATAGTAGTTGGAGTCCATGATACCATTGATAATTTCAAAATTTTTGACCGCTTTCTAGGGAATACGTACACGCCCAAACCATACGACTCCCACCACCATGTTTTACCGTGGGCTTGCAATATTTCATTTCATCAGCGTTGTCGGATTTTCTCCACACTCGTGTCACCCCATCAGCACCGAATATGTTAATCTTGGTCTCCTCGCTCCACGAAACCCGTTTCCTGTCTGACACGGTCCAAGCTCCGGACTTTTTTGCCCATGCAAAACGCTTTGCAATATGACCCCCTGTTGAGAATGGTTACTTCCGTGTAGATCTGCCCCTAAATCCTAATTGATGGATGCGATTTCTTGTAGGTTGGGCAGAAACATCAAGTCCACATTCTCCCTTTACTGCAACAGTCAAAATTGGTGCAGATAACTTCGGATTTTGTTCGATTTTTGAGACTATGTGACGATCCGTCCTTGCCGTGGTGCATTTTGGCAGACAATTTTTGGTAAACTCGCTACGGTGAAAAACTTTTTGAATTTTTTATGATGCACTGAACTGTACCCTTGCTCATCATTAGCATTTTGGCAATTTTTTTATATCCAAGTCCCTTCTCGTAAAATTTGAAGACCTTTTCTCGCAGGCCAAGAACAATATTTTTGCCACGCATTCTGTATAAATCGCAATGCAAATTAATGCTATGCCAGATTCCACAATAATTTATGATTGAAGGATGATAGATTCCTTGACAAATTATGCTGAATTTTACAAGAATATGTAGGAAATAATTGCAGGAGTACAAAAAACACGCAGGGTCTGAAAACTTTTTTGACATGCGAATTTTACAAATAACCCCGACCTGTCTCAATTTGACCCGTTCGATAATCCAGGATTTAATTAATCCGTACCTGACTTCAAGTTGAATAGATGTGCAAAATTTCATCCAATTCCATGAAGCCGTTCCGACGTTATAAAAATTCGTATCGGAAAAGTGTTGGGGTCTGAAACATCTTTTATATACTGTAAATATACACTTCCAAATCTACATACATAATTATCTACAGTCGAGTAGAGGAATGGCTGTTGGGAGCAGAGTTTTGTCCTCGTAACTATACGTCAACCTGGGCAGGATTATTTTCCGCGATATAGACTCCCCGACTTCCGGGGGTAAACAATCCCCCATCTGATCCACATCCATATTTCACCGTTGGCAGTTCTTGTGAGCGATTTAAAATTTTATGTCTAGCGTAAACCGAAAACACAGCCCCCGCCAGGATTATGCAGCATACCGTTTTTGACACTGCAGATTAACAAAATATTTTTTTTCATAAGAAATATATAGATAAGGTTTCAGGAAACTGAATTTTGCTCAAAAAAACTAGTAGCGCGGGGCAACGCTGTGCAGTTATTCAGTTTTTTTATCAGTTTTTGGGATAAAATGTAGAATTCAAAACATAGTCAGAGTGGAAAAATACTTATTGGCTGCATTTACATATGTAAGTATGTATGTATGTACAGGTAAAACCTATGCAAAACCAAAAACCCGGGTAAATCCGATTATATACTCTGCATTTTTCGAATTTAATAAATTTGAATTTCAGTCGTGAGTAAGTTAGAAAATGTTAAAACTTTTCGGGATTTGGGATCAAAATTATAATGACTGCGTAAATACACAAAAATTGTGTAGATAGTATTTAGATACATAAATAGTGATGGAAAATTAATTGGGGAAAGTTTTCAGTTATGTCAAGATTCCGTTCGAACTTTGAGCGCCAGGAAGTTTTGAAAAATCACAAATTTTCCAAAAAATCCTATTTACAACTTACTCCCTATTGCTTTCCAGCCCAAGAAAATGAACGCTTCGGTTCCTACAAGACAAAAACTGGTTAGAAACTACTTATAATTTAAATAATCACGAAATTTGGATGTTCAAACGTTTCACAAAAACACATTACGCTTATCCAAGGCAAAAAATGCATTTACCGACTTTATTTATCAGGAAAATGGCAAACACGTGTGTACTTATAAATATTTTTTATTGCAAATCGAAGATGATCAGGGCAGTCTGATTTAGCACGATTGTACCAAAATTAGCGCATTATTTATGCCAATACATTTATATGTATATATGTATGCGGCTTTCCTCATATTTATTTGCATACTTATTTAAGTAACGGAATGATTTATGTGTCAAACTTACTTTCGTCCGGTTGTGACGGATTAGCTTGGATGAGATCTGTTAGTCAAATAAACGGACATATGTAAATTACATAATTCAAAATTCCTTAAACTGGAACCCGCACAACTTGACAAAAAGGTGAAGTTTACACGGAAAACCTCCTGGAAACTCAAAAAAGTCAAGTATTTCGCGCATCTTGCTGCATATCGAGGTGTCAACCGTAACTCGTTTGGCACTTCGTATGCATCGTCCACTCGAAATTTGCCAAGTAATTTATTTCTAACTAAATTCAAATCTTACCTTTACAAAGTATCCACAAAGTGGCTACAACTATTCCGCAGAAAATTGTAATCGGGAGGAAAGTCAATCTAACAAAGAGTTTAATTGTTTTTGTAAAAAATTCAGTCATATTTGTAATAAGTGACCACAATGAACTTGATTCGGGACAGCGACGCAACGTACATTTAAGGAGGAGGGGACCTCTACCCCTCACCACCAGATTTTGATCTCCTTTGGATATGTGGTAGGGCCCCATGAGTCTACCAAAACCCTAAAGTGGTTTTATTCCATGGCCCCATTTGCGCCCGCCACACCCCCTCAAAGGGAAAAAATATACAAAAATCAACATCTTCAAAGGCTCGCCAAAAATCCAATTTTGTTCGAATTTTGAAATTTCTTGCACTATTGTGATCCTAAATAGTTGCTTTATCACATCCGATATCAAGCTCGGCTGTTTTAAATTTTTTAATATTTTCTAAAATTTCCTGACCAGGGGTATGTCTTCGAAAAAATCAAAATTTTGAAAAAGTTGAGTTTGATGTTGGATATGATCAAGCAACTATCTGGGACTATAATGATGCAAAAATTTTCAAAATCGGATGAAAATTCGATTTTTGGTGAAGATTTTTACGAACGAAAACGGCTTTTTTAGTGTTTTTCAAGCAGTTGAGGGGGTGTGGCGGGCGCAAATGGGGCCATGGAATAAAACCACTTCAGGGTTTTAGTAGACTCATGGGGCCCTCCCACATATCCAAAGGAGATCAAAATCTGGTGGTGAGGGGTAGAGGTCCCCCCCCTCCTAAGTGACAGACTGTAGTATTTCTCCCCTTGTTTTTATAATATTTGCTGAATTTTTTGCGCATGCGAAACCTAGCAAGTTGTGGTTTTTAGTGATAAAACCCTTCCTTTTTTATAACCCTGGTTTGAAACCTTTTGTACAATAAATCCTCACCTGTTTATATCGGGAATTAGACTCTAACCTGTCCACGCCGTGGGTTTCTTTGTCCGCAATATGACTAGTCTAACTACTCCATAAGTCATTATCTTGTGGACATGTTTACCCTTTATCTGTTTGGATGGAAAGTGGGATGTCAGTGATCTCAATTTTGTTGGTGCGGTCAAAATTCTGCGTTATCTTTGCCCGTCAGCACACACACAATCGAGTTATTTATTTACTTACTTATCAAAACGTCACCTCAACACGAAAATAAGTCAACCAGATCGTCCTAAAACGTAATTCGCAACGGGGCAGCGACACGAACATAAATTTTTTATTTATTTTGGTAGAGTTAACAACCTCAAATCCTGACGTGCAAGATAATCATTTACTGCACACATTTTTATTTTTATGTAGTTAATAAATAACCTAAAATTCCGTCGTGCAAAAAAAGTAGATTTGCACACATTGTGAGCGATTAACCACGCCAATTCCGCCTATCTCCCATTAACTCATCGATGAACCAACCGCTAATTTCATTATTCCTCAATTAGTCCCATTATTGAAGAGATTATTTCTAAAAATCCAACTTTACTAGAATGAGCAACTCTGCGGCGACCAGACGTAGCGAAAATTATCCAGCATCCAAACCGCATAAACCCTGCTTTAATTTTTTAATGGATTTTCTCCGTTGCCATGGATGTCAACCTGACGACGAGGGGTCCGGTTCTAATCAAACTGTGAGACTTGGTTGTGGTGAAGATGGTGGATTTTTTCGTAACGGTTCTTCCGGTTATTATCAGGCCACCACTGTTAACCAACCTACCGCCGTAACCGTGCCGCAAAACGGGGGAAAGTAAGACGTGCCCAGGTAAAAACACGACTCTCATGGTTACATTGCAATAAGTTATTTATTTTATTTCTTACAGCTTTCAAAGTCAGACGTCAAATGAAGTTTGTTAATTTAAGGCAACTTTCTTTGAGGTATTTATTTATGTAATTTATGTAACTGCAAAATTGTAATAAACATTGACAAATTTCATATTTATAACATATATTTATTTATTTTATTTATTTATTATTCATTTATTTATAACATATGATAACCCATAATTTACATATTTTATTAATCTTTTGGCACATTACTTTTGCACGTATTCGGCTGATCAATCACATTACGTCATTATGTATTAAATAATAATTAACCAACTACTAAAAATTACTGAAGGGTAAAAAATACCAAATATTTAAAACCATCTTGATACATAAAATACTTGACAATTTTATTTATTCGCTTCGTAAACAAAATTGTATTCATTTAATTTAACAAAATTCCAATCCTTCCACAATTTTAACTTTACTGAACACTATCTCCTCCACGTGGGCCCATAATTAAATTAAATTATTACAAACAGCTCCCCGAATTTTTGCATAATCAGTTAAACAAGAAATTTTAATTGCGCCGAATGATTTTTCCCTTCCCGCCATTTCCCGTTAGCCCGCTACTCCCATTTCGTCCTAGAATGTACTGCCTTCCCCCTAGTTCTGGATGCGGTCCGTAAATAACCACGATTCCATCCCCACCGTCCGAAAATGTCCCACTATTCCCACCACAACCGATTTCAACCTTGGAATTTGGTCCAACTCCGAGAACTTCATTTAGATTAACGTCCCGCGGAATTACGGCGTAACCTGTGCATCCGTTGCCAAGAAATCCCCCCGACCCGCCACATCCGTATCGGACATATCTGGGAAAGAATTTATCGACCAGTTAATTAAATTAATTGTAGCTTATTTTGTAAGCATTTGGATTTTTATCGATGTATGTATGTAAATATTTTTGCTCACTCATTAAATACATAAATTTAAAAAATTATTCGCTAACCTGTAGAAATTCTGGGCTACTCTATTTTCGTGTTATGATTTGAGTTACATATTTATATAAATATTTTATTAGATTTAAATTTTGATTAAACGTTAGTGAAAAGATTTCAATTACAATAGACAAGTTAAGAGATAAGCCGCCTAGTGTACGAAGCAAATATCACCGCGTTATGTCCAGTATGATGAGCTTGTAGATAAGTTTGTCATTAAAAACTTCATTATAAAAAATATATCAAGACGTTACAGGATGTCGGAGAAATTTGTGACGTTGTCAACCAGTTAGTTTGATGGGTATTTGTGAAAATAAGGTATATACCCTCGACTGGTATCCCAGTATATTTATGCAAATATCCCTTAACCCGACTGCTGATTCGCTCATATTTACATATATTTTCCCCCACATGCTTACATATGCATCTTAGGTAAAAAAATGTATCCTCAATTACTTTTACCTAAAAATAAGGTCTTTCCGCGGGTGCGAATGTTTTTTTTTGAAATTATACATGTATTTAGGTTGCGTCCATGGGGCTTTCCAATGTACATATTTAGTATGTATTAAGTATGTCATTGCATGTATGTAATTATATGATATATGTAATTCGGTTCAAAAATCGACTTACTTATCCGGCTGGGGATGAGTGGCGCTGTTCCACATTTCCAAAGTGGACTAAATTTAACACAGAGTTATGTAAATGAATTTGATCACCTATGTGTACTGCTCTGCGGGGTCTTTTCAGATTGTGAAATATTATAATTCACGTATGTAGTATCATTTTTTCCCTTCTTACAGTTTCATGCATTAATGTAAATACGAGTTTATGCAAATATTTATTTATGCATGTATGTACGAACAAGACAAGAAGGTTCAAACCCCTTCCTTGTTGGATGCGAACGCATATTTAATCATAATACATAAATATGTACATGTTTGGGCATCATGGGATTTTGTGTTCTCCAATGAATCGGTCCAATCAAGTATGTACATATTTACAACTATTTACATATTATGCACAAGGTGTAAACGACCCTGGACAAGTAGGCTTTCCCACGGGACGGGACGGTACGGGATTTCGCTGTCCCGTCCCGTCCCGAAGATTTACCGGGATGAGATTTTCGGGACGGGACAGGATGGAGGTCGTCCCGTGGGAAAGCCTATGGACAAGTTGATTGGTCTGGGTTTCCAAAAGTGTTTCTGAAAAGCTATCCGTATATTTGTACATAGTCAATTACAAGTTGTATGAAAACATAATTTTGTCTTGTCAGGGTTGAATCTGTCGTATTTAAAATATTTGGTATTGCCAATTGCTGATAATTATGCATTCAAATATCTAAGATTCGCATTATTGTGTTTTATTAATTTGTTTATTAGTTTATTTTGTGATTTCTTTCGCTTACAAATGATATGAAATGCTTAAAATTCTTATGTTTCATCAATAAATAGTTATTTCACATAAATTTATCAACTTCATCAACAGACCGGAATATTTAGTACTTTTTTAAGTTTTGTACTTTTTTAAGTAAAAAGTGTTTAAGAATGTGTTCATTATTTTTTGTCGGGTTGCAGTAAGTACTATAAATACATATGTACCAAGAACAAAATATTAAGTAAAACAAACAATAAATGAAAAAATTTAAACGACAACATGCAACGTACCATTTGTACCATTAATACGTACAGTATGTAAAAAAAGTTTACATACAATGTGGATTTCAAGCTTTGCATGCATGTTGATAATATCGGAACGGCTTGAAGCAATGGAATGAAATTTTGCAGAAGTATGTATGTTTCGTATGAAGCGTACTACAGAATACGTAATGGTATGTGCATTGTGGTCGTAAAAAAAGTAGGGTGGAGTGAGTCTTATGGTTTGGATGTATTTGACACGGAGGTGGGTGGGACATTTTTAAATGGAGGCGTGGACTCTAACTACTAATGAGAAATATTGGACCAAAAATTTTCTGCCGGCGAATTTGAAAACTTGGACTTACTTACATTTCACCTCCACAAGATATGAACGTCATTGAGCACCCGTGGTCCATTCTTAGGATCCTTAAATCAAAAATTGTTCAATAACATATGTACATAAACCATGCCACCTCAAACAGCTTGACGACTCGATCACTCTGGTGTGGGAGCTGCTCAACACGTACATATTTTATTAATTCACTTGTGAAATCACTGCCCAAACGTGGCATGTCTCCTTTAAAGGTTCGGGGTGGACATATGTATGTGCCAAGTAAATATTAATAAAGGCGAACAATTGTTAAAATATTTATTTACGAGAACATAATTAAATCCAAATTATGTATCCATTGTATACAGATGTCATTATTCCTGGGAGTTTGACAGGGGTTACAATAAATAGGTTTATGCTACTAAAATGTGCAAAACTTTATTCCATTATTTCAAGCCGTTCAGAAATTATGAACATGCACAGCGCAAAATCCATACTGTATGTAAACCTTTATTTCGCAGGAATATTTACTCAATGAATACAGAGCATGGAAAGTTCATTTGTGATCACTTTGCCCCGCTGATTGCAGAAGTTGTGGATGAGATAGCACCTAATTCTTTTTACTGTTAACGGCGGGATCATTGGCAACACTTTAACATTTTTTCAGAATTTTCGAAAGTCAAATGGGGAGGAAAGCGTCACCAGAATTGGAGGTTCTTTGAAAACCCTTTCCAAGGGGGGGAGCTCGCGTGGAACGATAAAAAGACAACTTGAACGGGAAGGTCACGTGGTCAGTCTGGGTTTAATTCATAAAATGGTTAATTTTGAAGATATTGACGTCAATTGGAGTCGTTGAGATTACCCAAACTACCTAAAAACAACCTACAAGGAAAGTGACGAAAACTGTCAAAAAGAGGATTGCACGATTGACGTCCCAGGAAAATCTCCCCAGTCAGAGACAAAGTGCCAGAAGGGCCGGAATGAGTCACACAGCCATTGATAATGTGATTCATCATCAATTGAGTAAAGTTACCCAAAAAAAATGCGTCGTACATGCGGCGAAGCCCAATCATGTCGCTAACCGCAAGTCGAATTCCAGAAGACTGTACGAGCGCCACCTGGCGGGTGGGAGGTCCGAGTTTGTGGCGACCTTGGACGAGGCATGGTTCAGGGTGGACAACTGCAAGGGGAAAGAAAAGTCTGCTACGTACAAGAGGGGAAATCCGTACCCGAAGACTGGGTGTGTGAAAGTAAGGATAGCTACGGATCCCAGCTAATAGTGGTTGGAGTTATCTTAGGCGAGGACCCATGGGGCTTTTTAGGGGTCCTCCAAATTAGAAAATTAATGCAGCCAGATATGTGGAGGATGTGTTGAAATCTTTGCTTGAAGAAAAAATTCCGGAATTCTACCGTGGAGAAGAGTCCAAAATTTACATCCACCACGAAAAGGCGTCATCACATACCGCGCGCTTGACCACGGCCGAGGAGGCCGTGGAGGTGAAACATTGAGGAGCCCCGAACTCATCAAAAATTGCCACATCTCTGTCAAGTCACCTGATATTAGCCCCATGGGCTTTTTCGGATTTGGTCGAATGAAACAAAAACTTTTCCAAAGGAAAGAAACGACACTTGACGGGCTTTGGAAAACTCTGTCGGACGAGTACAAAGCAACATCCCCTGACCTGTCGGCTAAAGTGTTTCAAAGTTGGAAAAAACGATACAGAGCTGTCAACAAGAACATTGGCCATCAAATTGAACAAATCAATCATTATAAAAAAATTCGACTACGAAGTAATAAATATTTTAAAAGCGATCACAAAGCAACTTTACATGCTCTGTACATGCCTGAGGAGGGGCAGCTTCCGCAGCGGCCCCTCTCAGATTTCGATGCCCTTTGGATATGTTGTAGTACCCCATGAGTGGACAACAAGCCGTAAGTGTTTTGATTCCATGGCCTCATTTGCGCCCGCCACACTCCTTCAACAAAACACCAAAAAAGCCCTGTTTTCACTCGGTTAAATCTTCATTTAAGCGATTTTGAAAATTCCTCCACTTTTATACTCCCAGATAGTTCCCTTCTCATATCCAATATCAAACTCAATTTTTTTGAAATTTTGATTTTTTCGAAGACAGGTCAGGAAACTTTCAATATTTTTGAAAAGTTGAGTTTAGTATTGGAAATTTTAAGGCACATATCTGGGATCATATTTATGTAAGAATTTTTAAAATCCGATAAAAATTGGATTTTTGGAATGGGTTTGAAAGTGGCGATTTTGGTAATTTTGGCACACAAAAGTGGGTATGGCGGGCGCAAATGGGGCCATGGAGTCAAAACACGTGGGGGTTGTGATACACTCATGGGGTACTACAACACATCCAAAGGGCATCGAAATCAGAGAGGGGCCAGTCCGGAAGCTGCCCTCCTGAGATTATGTACATATGTACATATGCATATGCATGTACATTAGTGCTGAGTCGTGCGCACGATAATTTCGTGCCAACACTAACACGCACGACACAATCGTGTTTCGTGTCGTGCGGGTTGGCATCTAATCGTGTCGTGTCGGTCGTGTTCGAGCAACGCACTCGTCACTTCGTGTCGTGTCGTGCGGGCGGGAAGGGAGATCGTGCTGGTTGTGCGTCGGTGTAAATAGCGTAGCCAAATGTTTCATATTATTTTGCTTCTCAACTTCCCAATTTTCTCAGAGAGTTACGTTCGTCCTACCGGAAGTACTAATTTCCTTACTGCCAGGTAGAGTTGCCGTTTCAGCTTGGCTTGGCTTGGCTTAATAAGTAAAGCTGAGTTAAGCTGAGTTGAGTGGACCTCAAACAAGCTGCTGGCTTCATAAGCCAGCTTGTTAAGCTTGCAAGCTGAAGCAAGCTGGCCTGGCTTAACTCAGCTTGGCTTATTAAGCTGGCTCCTATTTATTTATATTACTATCAATGCCAGACTCTGTGCCGAAAAAACTGGACTGGGAGCGAAGCAAAAAGGGAGAACTGCATTGTGATGTCAAAACATTAAAATTCTGCCATCATTTAGAAAAAATTAATAGAAAACTATTTTTCCTATAACATTTTTCGATATCTCCTCTCTGTGACCTGTTATAATGGGGTCATACAAAGTAGCACACGTACTTCCTTCAGCTACTTCGTTATCACCACTAGCATTCGCTACTTGATGGATTGTCCGTCGGTCTGTCTGACTGTCTGCAAGCACGATAACTTTTGAACGCTTCAACATTTCTGAATTCTGCCTTTGGTAATCGACATCTAATTTTAAAAGTTAGGGGGAGTTCGTTAACTCAACCTGTAGGTCAAAAGGTCACGGCGCCACGGTAATGTGGTCAATGGCGAAAAATGTCAAAAATTTTGTTTCCACCATTTTAAACGTATTTTGGGACGGGGATTTCAAAAATCGCCATCATTTATATTTATATAAAATTTTCGACATTTTTCGCCATATGTATAAGAATAATTCGAAATGGTTTAGCCAGAGGCTGCGGAACCGTGGGGATATTGTGGGGACAATAACATTGTAAGACAGGAAGGGGAGGAGCTTAATAACATTGCAAGGATAGGGGAATTAAAAATTTCTGTGGGGACATTGTCCCGATGTCCCCACGGTTCCGCAGCCCCTGGGTTTAGCAGTTAGTTGAAAATAGAAGTCAGAACCAAACAAAACTGTTCATTCCCACCAAAATAATTCAAGTTGAAGAAAAAAGAGGCACTCAAACCAAAATCTAGAGTTCGAGGATCCCGGGTTTGGTGAGCACAGGAATCAAATTTTTTTTGATTCTTCAACTGGTTTAAGCTGGAGATTTATTTTCAACCGGAATCCAAGCTCGGTGTGGGTACACCTTTATGTAGGTACATCAATCTTTTGTTAATTTATTGATCTACTCATATACACTTTAAAAAATTTTAAGAAATTTTATTATAGTACTATTATTATTATTATACATATATAAGTATAAAGCGAGTAAAGACAATATAGGATGGCTTAACATCACGTGCACTCTAATTTTTTGTATTTTCCCAAAAATGGGCGCAATTGTGGAAGTGGTCGTGATGGTTCTTTGAAAGTTACAAATATATTTTCGGATTGTCCATAATTTTTAATAAAAAGTTTGATATAAGTTGAAACGTTTACATGAAAACATTTCTGTGTTTTGAAGCGGACATAACTCCTTCCAACCTTATGTTGAAGAAATTTTTAGAATTGTGTAAAACTCGCTTCTCAAGTTGCTCATTTTCAAGTCTCGTAGGAAATATGTAAGTACATACATATGTTTCGCATCGAAATGCTATGAACTTTAAACCACTTATAGAAATAATGTATTTCAAGTTAATAATTCATTCTGGTATATTCCTCCGCTATCGTTTCATACTGCCATCAACTTACCAGAACTAAGTACTTCACTAATATGATCCGCCAATTTGTTGACGGTTTGTTTCCCACAAGCCTTGCATATTTCGGGTTCGATTATGTAAAATCTTTAACGGATAAAGTTACATACCTTTTATGTTGAATAGTTACATACAAATTTATTATTTTCATTATTCTCGCCCATTATAGGGTTATAATTTTGCCCACCAACGTGCATATGTACAATTTTGTATCAATAATGGCACAATCATTTCCAATTTTAAATAAATATCCATTTCCAAATCTGTCTATAGTCGAGCTTAGGAATGGCTGTTGGGAGCAGAGTTTGGTTCTCGTAACTGGTTAGGATTCTTTTCCGCAATATAAGCTCCATGACTTCCGGGGGTAAATAATCCTCCATCTGATCCACACCCGTACTTCACCGTCGGTAGTGTTTGTGAGCGATTTAAAGTTTTATAAGTAACGTAAATCGCAGAGATAGTCCCCCCCACGATTATGTAGCCTATCGCTTTTGACACTGCAAATTAACATAATAGTTTACTCATCCGAAAGATATAAATAAGGTACAGGAAACTGGATTTTGCTAAAAAAACTACTCACGCGGGGCAAGGCTATGCATTTATTAAAAAGTTTTACTCAGTTTTCTGGATAAAATAATATAACGATCAACGTTCAAGGTAGTCATAAAATACATCCATAATTATCAGCCTAGACTTGAAAAATACTTGATTATTTTTGGGTAATTGGTTGCATTTAAGTACATACATATGTAGAGGAAACACCTAAGAAAAACCAAAACCCAGGGCAAATCCTACCCTGCACTTATTGAATTGGATTTATTTGAATTTGGGTCGAAGTTAAGTCGGAAAATGGCAGAAATTTTCGGGATTTGCGATCAAAATTATAATGAATGCGTAAATACACAAAATTTTATACATAGATGCATAAATTGTGATGGAAAATTTATTCAGAAAAGTTTCCAGTTATGTCAAGTTTCAATTCGAACTTTGAGTGCCAGCAAGTTTTGAAAAATCACAAATTTCTGAGAAATCCTATGTACAACTTACTCCCTATTGCTTTCCAGCCCAAGAAAATGAACGCTTCGGTTCCTACAAGACAAAAACTGGTTAGAAACTACTTATAATTTAAATAATCACGAAATTTGGATGTTCAAACGTTTCACAAAGACACATCATGTTTCTCCAAGGCAAAAAATGCATTTACCGACTTTATTTATCAGGAAAATGGCAAACACGTGTGTACTTATAAATATTTTTTATTGCAAATCGAAGATGATCAGGGCAGTCTGATTTAGCACGATTGTACCAAAATTAGCGCATTATTTATGCCAATACATTTATATGTATATATACGGCTTTCCTCATATTTATTTGCATACTAACGGAATGATTTTTGTGTCAAACTTACTTTCGTCAGGTTGTAACGGATTAGCTTGGATGAGATCTGTAAAATAAAAGAATATTCGCGTATATGTATGTATTCAACAAAGAAGTGAGAGCACACGTCTGTTTATTTAATTATTTGTGTGCTTTTTGGACTCCCGCACACTCATTCTAAGACTGCCCCAATTAGCTGAAATCGGGCACTAAAAACTTGTATTTCATAATTCAAAATTCCTTAAACAGGAACCCGCACAACTTGACAAAAAGTGAAGTTTACACGGAAATCCTTTCAAAAAAGGCAAATATTGTGCGCATCTTGCTGCATATCGAGGTGTCAACTGTAACTCGTTCGGCACTTGGGAACGCGCATATGTAACGGTTCCTCAAAATATGCCAAATAATTTATTTCTAGCTGAATTCAACTTTTACCTTTACGAAGTATCCACCAGAAGGCGACAACTATTCCGCAGAAAATTGTAACCGGGAAGAAAGTCAATCTAGCAAAGAGTTCCATCGTTTTTGGAAAAAATCCAGTCATATTTTCAATAAGTGACCACCGTCAAGAGAAGTTGATTCGGGACAGTGGTGCAACGAACGTATGTATACTTAAGTGACAGACTGTATTTAGTATTCTCCCCTTGTTTTATAATAAATTTCTCAATGTTTTGTAAATATCTGCGCATGCGAAATCCCGTAACTTGTGGTTTTTAGTGGTAAAACCCTTCCGTCTTTATAACCCTGGTTTAAAACATTTTGTACAATAAATCCTCACCTGTTTCTATCGATAATTAACCTCACCCGTGCCCACGCCGTTGGTTCCTTTGTCCACAATATGAGTAGTCTGACGACCCCGTCATTATCTCGTACACATATTTACCGATTATATGTTTGGATGGAAACGGGATGTCATTGATTTGCATTTTGTTGGTGGGATAAAAATTCTTCGCTATCTTTGCCCGTCAGCACACACACATGAGAGTTATTTATTTACTTATAAGAACGTCACCTCAACACCTCAACAAAATATTTACATAAGGCAATAAGGTTGCCTCAAAACGTAATTCACAATGGCGCAGCGACCCCAACATACAATCATACATACATGCATTTATTTATTTTGGTGGAGTTAATAACCTCAAATTCCGTCGTGGACAACAAGTAGACATTGTGAACGATTAACTACACCAATTCCAGCTAACTCCTATTAACGCGTCGAAGAACCAATGGTTCTTTTCATTATTCCTCAATTAGTCCAACTATTGAAGTAATTATTTCTAAAAAATCGAAATTTACTACGATGAGCAATTCTTTGGCGACGAATTCTAGCGAAAATTGTCCAGCATCCAAACCGCACAAACCCAGCCCTAATTTTGTAATGGATTTTCTCTGTTGCCATGGATGTCAACCGGACGACGGGGGATCTGATTCTAATCAAACTGTGAGACTTGGTTGTGGTGAAAATGGTGAATTTTTTCGAAACGGTTCTTCCGGGTATTATCAGGCCACTGTTAACCAACTGACAGCCGCAACCGTGCCACATGACGGGGGAAAGAGTAAGACGGCTCCACACTCAAAATAAAATTGACACCAAATTCTTAACGAGGCGGTGTCTATATATGACTCTACCGGATTGTGTCAAATTTGTAACAACATTGTGTCAAGACCACTGACACCACAATTGCTGTAAATTGACAAAGGAGCGTTACGAATTTCACACAATGCTGGTAAAGAAAATTGACACCGTAGTGTTTGGATTTGTTACCGTTTTGTGACAATTAACTCAGTACATATGACACAAGTTGGTTACTATTTATAATAATGCGGAATGAATTTACTAGATTGATTTAACACAATTTAGTGAATTATTATGTATATTTCTTGTATAACCGGTGTCGATTTATTTGTTTAGACTTTAATACTAACATAAAAGTTACAAGTTTAAATAATGTTAGCATTATAACAATAAAAATGCACTGTATATATTATTAATAAAAAATAAAGTTACTTATTAAATTGCTTAAATATGATGTCGGAAGTGTATAAACAATCCATTCACGTTACAATTATGCATAAGTTACATACAATCATGTATATATAAATTATTTACATTACACAAATGATACAATTCATTTTTCGTATTAAATCTGTAACTAAAAAAATACCTATCAAATCCTTCGATATTTAGTTGACTTAAAAGTAAATAACAAGTTTACTAATTAATTAATACAAACTGTGGAAATATACCAAAGGAAATTATACCAAACTCTGGAAATACTGAGTCATGACCGGTTGACGTGCCGAGAACTCAAAAGGTTTTTATCATAAATCCAAAACAAATAAGACGCAATAAATTACAATATTGACCTCCATTTATGACAAATTGCATCAAACATTATTTAGCTTGCCATTGAGTTCCATTCCTGAAATTTTTCAGAATTGGGGTGTTGCCAATTCGCAGTAAGTAGTTGCAATGAGGGAGAGTTTCCAGAGTCAGTCGCATCAATTGTCTTTAGTAGATGTAGAATTGAGTTGACTAACTAATTCTTGATTAAATGCAGTAGATTCCTCGAGAATTAATTTGGCAGGTCCTGTGTGAGAATTATTCCATTTTAATATCAATCTTTATTATCCTCAAATTTTTATGTCTCACAATTCAATTTCCAGATGCTGCGTATTTCCAACGAGGAAGTATGGAAATAATTGCTAGAGCAAGCAATTTCTGGTCTGCATTTGAAGGAGTTTCTCTATTTAAAAAATCGTTATAGCTTACAACATGTAACGTTTATGCATAAGATAATTATTAACAGTTACCCTTTTAATTCAATTAATCTTCCAACATAAATATTGATAAGTGTGGTCGAGGCAGAGTTGTCAATATATCCTTAGCGTTGCATTCTGTGACCAATTCATTCAGGTCAGCGTCGTTCTCCACAAGTGATTCCAGGGCCTAATAAAAAGTAACAAGCAAAATTGTAATTAAGAACTTCGATTTAGAAATTAAAATAGAAATGTTTTTACCTGATCAATTTGTGGATTTCCTTGTGTAGCTAATCCAGTATTTGAGGATAGGAATTATGGCAAAACTCCTTGTGGCGCTGACCTTCCAGCTATAAAATGCAGTTGTTATTAATTACATGTATAGAGTATACATATTTCTAGAAATAATTACCTAGGAAGGTTGATGGATTTGAGTTAGTGGCCTGATCCAAGGTCACTTCCGTCGGAAGCTCCACATTCAAGAAAAACTCGATGTTTGGGATGACCCGTAAAAGAATGGGAAACACGTCAGCGTCAATTTCAGCTATGTATATCTGAACCGAAATTTCTGAATCAGGTCCAACTTAAAATTTTGACCTTACTGAAAGAAGAGGGGATACAAAAGTTTAAATAAAGTGTTTGTTCCTTACGGGGTTGGAAATATGACAGCAAAATATAAAAAAATTACCTAATTCCAAGAACCCCGTATAATTTCCCTCGCACACTAATAGTTTCTTCCCTCGAAAATAATTCGACACATAAATAATTTTTCCATTTTTGGCGAGATGCAATGCCAACGTAAAGTTAAACCCACGCCGTTTTTTGAATCGTCGCGGATTAAAATTGTAACAACATAGTAATAAATTCTAACAAGAGCATAAAAAAATTACACAGCAGGCCAACTTCTATCAAAACCGCCCCAGAAAAAAATTGACACAGCCAAGTGTGAAGTGAGAGAAAGGGTTTCAACACAGTAGTGTTACAGTTTGGACACTATGCGGTGTTAAAACAGCAAAAATTTACACAATTATATTCAAACTACAATAGTGTCAAATTATTCAACCGTGGTGTCGTTTTTTGTTATGATTTTGACACGACCACGGTTCTCACCGAGACACGGTAAGAATTCATTTTGCGTATTTCTTACCACTTTGCTAAGACTGCAGTTTAAAATGCGACTCTCTTGGTTACATTGTAATAAGTTAATTATTTTATTTCTTACAGCTTTTCAAACTCAGACGTCAAATGAAGTTTTGTAATGTAAAGGCAACTTTCTTTGAGGTATTTGTGTAATTTAAGTAACTGCTAAATTGTAATAAACATTGACAAATTTCATAATTACGATAACAATTTACATATTTTGTGAATCATTTGGCACATTACTTTTGGCTGATCAAACACATTACGTCATTAAATATGTTTTAAATATATAATAATTAACCAAATACTAAAAATTACTGAAGGGTAAAAATTAACAAATATTTAAAACCATCTTGATACATAAAATACTTGACTGAATTTTATTTATTCGCTTCATGCAAAAAATTGTATTTATTTAATTTAACAAAATTTCAATCCTTCCACAATTTTAACTTTACTGAACTATCTCCTCCACATGGGCCCATAATTAAATTAAATTAGTACAAAAAGCTCCCCGAATTTTTGCATAATCAGTTAAACAAGAAATTTTAATTGCGCCAAATGATTTTTCCTTTCCCGCCATTTCCGGTTAGCCCGCTACTCCCATTTCGTACTAGATTGTACTGCCTTTCCCTTAGTTTTGGATGCGGACCGTTGATAACCACGGTTCCATCACCACCATCCGAAAATGTCCCACTATTTCCACCACAGCCGATTTCAACCTTGGAGTTTGATCCAACTCCGAGAGCCACATTGACATTAACGTCCCGCGGAATTACGGCGTAACCTGTGCCTCCGTTGCCAAGAAATCTCCCCGACCCGCCACACCCGTATCGAACATGCCTGGATAAGCATTTAACGACCAGTTAATTAAATTAATTGCCCGTTATTTTATTTGTGGATTTTTATCAATGTACTTTTGCTCACTCCTTAAAAATGCATAAATTTAAAAATAATTCGCTAAGCTGTGGAAATTCTGGGCGACTCTATTTTCGTGTTATATTTAATTGGAGTTATTTAATTAGATTTAAATTTTGATTAAACGCTGGTGACAAAAGTTCAATAACACGAGACAAGTTGAGACATGCGTACAAAGCAAATATCAAATCGCAATCTACATACAACAAGAAGAACATGTACAGGGCCGGCCCGTCCTATTTTGCTCACGCATACAGCACTGTATTAGCTGATTTAACACGAATCGGAGAAATATTTTTGTATCAATTGTTTACTAGCATCTTTGGCATTGTGGTGTGAAATTTTCGGAATTGTCAGAATAACAATCGCAAAGAAAACACCACTCGAATGGGAAGGACGTATTTTGGCGCTTTCCAGCCTTAACCACTCGTCCCCTGAGATAAGAAAAATTCTTTTGGTGGATAAAATCGACTTAAGCCAACGGAAAATAGTAAACATAGCTAATTCTGCTGAAATTGGATGCTCTGTACGATCAAATGGTTTGAAATCAAAATGCAACCCATAAAAGAGTCAAATTGCATGGCTGTGAGAAAGTTGACCTGCTGACCCCAAAGGAGAATCAACCATCCCAAAGACAGATGGCAAAACTCGTACACATTCCAAGGACGAGTGTACAGCGAATAATTAAGCATTTGGGTAAACGTGTCGCTTTCAAAACTGCAGTTCATTCCCTCAACCAGAAGCAGATGGCGAATACTAAGACGAATTCGAAAAAAATTCACCAAAAATTGTGGGCTCATCAAAAGTCAGAATTTATTGTACGATTTGATGAAGGGATGCTTTATGTACCAAGCTGCAATGGAAATAGAAGATAGTGTTATGCGAAACGAGGAAAAAAATTTGCGAAGATTGGGTAGTTTGGAAGAAAAACTTTTGTAACAAGCACATGTTTGTGGGGGCATTATGGGGTTGTAGGGTCATACCATTGTTCCAACGTCCAAAACACGTCAACGCAAATGCAGTCTGATATGTCAACAAAGTTTTAAAGCTCTCAGTACAAACTTATCTGGCACGAATTTATGGTGATGACCTCCAGAAAGATCTAATTCATCATGAAAAAGCCTACTCGTATACGTCGTATACAACGACCCATTTTTCAGCGGAAATTTGGGGGACCCACAAAATAGCAATTATGCCGTTTACAGAAACACATGCCAAGTCCCTAGACATAAGCTTGGTAGACTTTTTCGGTTTCGGGTACTCAGGGTGAAGGCTAATGTGGTGACGCGAGGTTGCATGGAATTGAGTTTGGAAATTCTAAAATTATGAGCCGCGGAAAATGACCCCAGAATATGCTCCAACGTGTTCAAGACATGGGAAAAACGACTTGAACCTTTTAGTAAAAGCGATGGGCGACATATTGAGAAAATTTACAACATTCACACTCGCAAGCTTTAGGCTAAGATTTCGATGTCACCTTGAGCAAAATAGGATGGGCTGGCCCTGTAGATTAGTTTGTCATCAAAAATTCATTCAACTAAATATATTAAGACATTACAAGATATCTGAGAACTTTATGATTTTGCCGAACGGTTAGTTTGACGTATGTAGGATATTTGCGAAAATAAGTTACCCTCGACTGGTATCTTATTTCTGTAAATATCCGACTGCTGATTCGCTCATACATATGTATATGTATATTTCCCCCACATATTAACCTTCGGTAAATAAATGTATCCTCAATTATGCTGTACCTAAAAATAGGGTGTTTCCGCGGGTGCGGATTTTTTTCAAATTACATATGTATTTAGATGGCGTCCATGTGGCTTTCCAATATACATATGTATGTATGTATGTACATGCATGTTATGTGTAATTCGGTTCAAAAATCGACTTACTTGTCCGGCTGAGGATGGGTAATGTTATCCCCCATTTTCAAAGTGGAGCTTTGCCGCGGAGTGGAATGAATTTGATCATCTATACTATTCTGCTGGTTCTTTTCAGATGCTGAAATATCATAATTCAGGTATGTATGTAGTATCATATTTTCCCTTCTAACAGTTTTATGTAAATAGGAGTTCATGCAAATACTGTATTTGTGTATGTACAAATAAGACAAGAAGGTTCAAAACCCTGTAAATAAACTTGGTTCTCTTCCTTGTTGGATGCGAACACATATTTAATCATAATAAATACATGTATGGGCATCATGGGCTTTTATGTTCTCCAATGAATCGGTCCAATCAATGATGTACACATTTACAAATATTATTCACATGGTGTAAACGACCCTGGACAAGTTGATTGGTCTGGGTTTCCATAAGCATTTGTGAAAAGCAATCCGTATATACATAATTTATTACAAATTGTATGAAACAAACTTTTGTCTTGTCAGGGTTGAATCTGTCGTATTTATAATATTTGGTATTTCCAATTGATGATAATTATGTATTCAAATATCTAAGGTTCGCATTATTGTGTTTTATTAATTTGTTCATTAGTTTATTTTGTGATTTGTTTTGTTTAGAAATCAATTAGTAGATGACGATAGAAATAAACCAGTTTTTATTTATGTATTTACATAACTTTTTTGTTTCATCAATAAATAATTATTTCACATAAATTTATGTATACACTTTATTAACAGACAGGAACATTTAGTACTTTTCTAAGTTTTGTACTTTTATAAGTATAAGTTTTTAAGAATTTATTCATTCTTTTTTATTGGGTTGCAGTAAGTACTAAATACATATGTACAAAGAACAAAAACTGAAGTAAAACAAACGATAAATGGAAACATTCAAACGACAGCATGAAACGTATGTAGCATCTGTACCATGAATACGTACAGTATGTTAAAAAGGTTTACGTACAATGTGGATTTCAAGCTTTGCATGCATGTTGATAATATCGGAACGGCTTGCAGCATTGAAATGAAATTTTGCATAAGTATGCAAATGTTCGATGAAGTGTATTACAGAATATGGTATGGTATGGTACATAGTGGTCGTAAAACACGGTGGAGCTTTCACCTCACAATGACCAACTGTGGTCCATTCTTAGATCAAAAATGTGTAGGACTGCCAGTGAGTTGAGTTGAAGGCTAACTCAACTCAACTCATTAAAAATATTGTCAACTCTAACTCAACTCGGCTCAAATAAATCTTGACTCAAGTTCAACTCGACTCATATCTTGCTGACTCAAACTCAACTCGACTCATATCTTGCTGACTCAAACTCAACTCAACTCATATGAGTTGACTAGTTTTTTATTTAAGCGTATTTATTTAATAAATAAGTGTTATTTTGAATTCCAAAATAACCTTCCGAAGTGCCTTTTCATGTTTGAAGTGAGCCCTCCCTTAGATTTGTTGAAGTGTTGGCTAAATATCAATTGTAGGTAAATATATTTGTAACTGGAAAATTTGCTACGTAAATTATAATTATGAAATTACTTGTAATAATTGCACTTGCATTGATTATCCGGTAAACCCGAAAAATGCTCGTAGCAATCAGATCGCAATTTCCGCGTATGTGATGAGGAACTCTTTTCATCTTCAGATTCGGAAAGACTTAAATTATTACTAGAATTCATTATCACAACAGCGGTTATAGGTAGTTAATGAATGGATATGAAAGTAGTTAATGAATGGATATGAAAATAACGACTAAAAAGTGCGAACAATTTTATCACCAATGACTTCTCAGCGGTAAACATTTATCCAGGTGAGAAACCTTCAATGCACTAGTCGCCAAGTCATTAATGAGTTGACTCATGAGTCAACCCAAACTCATTTTCCATAACTCAACTCAAACTCATTATTGATCAACTCACTCATTTTGAATTGAGTCGAGTTATACCCTAGACTCAAACTCAACTCGAACTCACTAACTCATGAGTCAAACGAGTCAACTCTAACTCACTGGCAGTCCTATGCTCAACAACATACATATGTACATAAACCATGCCACCTCAAGTAGCTTGACGACTCGATCAAACTATTGTGGGAGCTGCTCAACACATACATACATATTTTACTAATTCCCTTGTGAAATTACTGCCCAAACGTGGCATATCTCCTTTAAAGGTTCGGGGTGGACATATGTATGTGCCAAGTAAATATTAATAAACGCGAACAATTGTTCAAATCTTTATTTACGAAACATAATTAAATCCAAATTATGTATCCATTGTATACAGATGTCATTATTCCATGGAGTTTGACAGGGGTAAATAGGTTTATGCTACTAAAATGTGCAAAACTTTATTCCATTATTTCAAGCCGTTCCGAAATTATGAACATGCACAGCGCAAAATCCATACTGTATGCAAACCTTTATTTCGCAGGAATACTCAATGAATATGTACATGTCTGACATTATGTATATATACATTTATGTACATACATACATATGTACATGGATTCAACATACTGTACGTATGTATTTATTAATTTATCCACCTTAGAGAGCAATGTTTCATGAGTTGTACATATGTACATGCATACTTATACATATCCTGTTCAGTCGCAATGTTTGAGGCAAGTGATTATTTTACGATTGATAACCACATTTGCCAATTATTTACATACATATGCACTCACACGGACCCTCGTGTGAGTATAAAAAAAGACGGAAGCTGCTCCTTTCGTAACCAGAGCGAACTCCGTTCACAACAAAAATTGTAAGCACACACATACACAAATTTCCTCTTCCACCCAAACCATGGGCGGCTCGCAAAGGTAAAATTACTAAAATTCAGGATAAATATTTTAATCACGGGTCACGTAATTTAAGTAAATAATTCTCACCGTCTTAACGAGACGGAAATAATTTGTACAATGTCAAGACGCCAATGATATCAGTTTTTATCTGGTACACATATTTGTCATTAGTTTTGTCTGACTGGTTGGCTCGTATTGTTTCCAGTATTCCCACATCAAGTTACGGATGCGGAGGAAATGGTGGTAAATTTTCGGGCGGCGGCAGTGGCCGATTTGAAATCTTGAACAAAGATCATTTCCCGCAACAAGTTACCAGGCAGAATGTGCAGGCAGGAAATGGGGGGGCGGGGGGATGGTTGGGTGCGCAAGGTGGGTCGGGAAATTACTCCGGAAAAAACGGGGAGTCCGGTTCGAAATCTTAGCGGAATCTTGAATATGTAGATATTCATTTTTTATTTTATGCAATGTCATCCTGTACGTAGTGGTTATGCAATTCGGTATATTTTGCGTAATAAATTATACTTTTATGTACAATTTTGCATCAAACTTATTTGCATGTTTACTACATAATTGTTGTTGAATATAAGTACTTACATATACTAAACTTTACTTTTTTGAGCATCTTAGGATTAGTACATACAGCAACCACACCATCTGAATCAGTTTTCGTACATACATCGCCCAATTAGCGCAATTACACATGTACATATGTGTAAGGAGTTTTGCGCATAGAATTTTTTTGTTTTCACATTTGCATTCCATTTTACTTTTTGCATGCTTTGTGTGCTTAACCTTATCCTCAGAGTGCAGCTTACCTACATAAATACATACATTTATCTACACATATGCATATATAATTTAGCAAGCTTTTATATAACCGCGTGCATACATATGTATGTATAGTTACATGGTTTTTAATAAGGAGAAATCGAGGTTAACAATAAATACGTATCAACTAGTAGTAAGGCAGCCAGCTACGCCCGGCTAGGGTAACTGGCCCAGGCGCAATATCACGGTAAAGGGACCGTGCGTAAGGAATGTGACGAATTATCAGGACCCCTGCCCAATTTAACTACAGATAAGGCACCGTGGCCACCAAGAGTTCAAACTAACATTCTTTACGCACGGTCCCTACCATAACCTGGCTGGGCGCCCAGCCACATTATTATGAACCAGGTGGGTCATAATATACTTACTTGTGCTGAAGAATAATTAAGCTACAAAGGGACCAGCGTAAATCAAATACCTGCTAAAGCTACCATTCGATACCCACCGATGCTGAGCCAAGCAGCGTATGCTCTGATCCGCTCCTGCTCCAGCACTGGGTGGCTGGCAAAGCTTAAGCGATTGTATGAGTTCTCGATGGTTACGCTCACTGGTTACGGACGGACGGACGGACGGATCCAACAGCTCTTAATATGTATGATGAATACAAGTGTGTATCATCCCCATATTTTAGCAGAGTTTCTCAAATAATTTTATAAATACTCGCCATACGGGCATCAGAATGATTTAACCACCACCACTCGTCTTCGCCTACTAATCCTACGGAGATGTCAACGGACTGTACCACCGCCACCACCGCAACATTAAATATTTTCAGTTTCACATTTCATTTTGGCGTACAAGTTTCACAATTTTTTTTATTTCACACCCCGATTTGGCATCGTGTTTTATAGAATTATTTCTTCATTTCTATTGTTTTTCCAATTGCAATTTTTTTAATATGTTTCCGGATGTTTCTCGATAACACAATCACCCTAACTTTTAAGAATTTGAAATAAATTAATAAATTTGTGGAATTTGTACGCCAAAATGAAATGAAAAAGTGAAAATATTTAATGTTGCGGTGGTGGCGGTAGTATTTACAGTCCGTTCATACATAGCTCCTAAGTAGGCGAAGACGAGTGGTGGTGGTTAAGTCATTCTGATGCGTATGGAGAGTATGTAGAAAATTTTATGTATAAATTTTATGCCTAATCTTAGCAAGTCGTGTATAATTAATAAATATTGATTATGCACACATGCGATGCATAAAAACGAGCTAATTCTATGCCGCATCATTTTCACCTGGGATGGTAATCATTTATTACCAAGACCGTTTTGAGCACGTCATTATATTTTTATATATATGTGCAACAATTCAGATGTTGTGGAATTTATCGAAATTACAATTATTGTTAGGTTACTTTATGTATGTATACACATTGAAAGTGAGTTTATTTATTAATTAGTACATACATACACTCACAGCAAAATTTTATCGAATTAACACCAACGGTGTCAATATGTGACTTAACCGTGACGGTTAAGATTCGACTACGACGTGGATACGAAATTTCACCGTTTTGGATACAAATCTTCACCATCAGGGTCAAAATTTTTACCACTCAGAGGAATTTCGTATCCACGTCATAGTCAAATGTTAACCGCCCCGGTTAAGTCACATATTGACACCGTCGATGACAATTTTCTTTACAGTGTACATACATACATAAATACATACATGCATAAATATAGAATGGCAAATAATTTGCGAGAATGTAGCAAACAACAGTTTATTACAAAACTCTACCTTGAAATTTTACCATTTCGTTACTTGTTATCACGAATAAACGAAATGAAGCCGAACGATATTTGGATTGGCCATGCCTTTGTTAATTTTTTAAGTAATTAGTGAGAATGATTTTTAAAAAATTCTAAAAACCATTCTAAACTCAAACAAAATCAAACACCTCAAAATTTTGGGTGTCGAATTGTGGTAGTGGGAGAATTAAACAAAGAGTTGAGACCACACGTTTGTTTATTTGTATGCTTTTTGGACTCCCGCAAACTCTTTCTAAGACTGCCTCAATTCTCTCTCCTTCTTCTGTCCCGCCATCGAAGATGAGATATACTAGTGGGATTTTAACCCTATGTATCTACCTGCCCGAAATCGGGCACTAAAAACTTGTTTATAATAATCATGGCATTGCGCATGCAAAGGTTAACTTCTAACAAATGAAACGATAGTAATATTTATTTACAGGTTTGGTATCTTACATTATGTTCAGCCAAGTATTATATGTAATATGTATGTATTAACGTAGGGGAAAATTAATACTTAAGTTGTTTAATACAAACTAATACAGTAATTCCTATCTCGTTTTTTTCTGTTTGAGGCAAATTAAGATTCACAATTTTCGCTGGAAATATTATCTATTTGTGGGCCGAGTCCTGGATCGTGACCGTTTAAACGTACTCTGATGGCGACAAGGAAAACTACGTCGGCCTTCGCGACCAACATCCTCGTTAATTCAAGTTTCCGGCAAGTTCCACCATGCAAACGCATATGTAAGTACATAACATCTTGCTTCATGCCAGTGGAGCGTTTCATGTAAGCGTTTGCCTCTTCGGATAATTTGTACGTATTTATGTACGTAATTAATGAGAATGAAAATTGAACCACAATTCCATGCAGTGAGAAAGTCGCTTAACTATTTACACATATGTAAATATGTATACGTAAATACACACTCATAGTATGAAATTCATACTATGAATGTATGTATGTATTTATGGGATTGCATGCATTAATGTGAATACAAATTTATGTACGTATTTATTCGAATATTTACCTACAAACAAGACAAGAAGGTGCAAAGCCCTGTTGCAAACTTTGTTATTTTTTAGGTTGGATGGGAGCAAATATGTACAAATCATAATAAATATGTATGTATGTATGTATATGGGCGTCATGGGATATTGTGTCCTCAAATGAGTTGATCAACGTGTCGTATCGTATCAATTTCATACAATACGCTACCATACATATGTACATATGTACATATGTATGTCCATAAATTTACCGTCCCAACTTCTCTGACAGAGCTGGATTTCGTTCCATTTGAATCTTAAGATGAAGAATAATTTGTCTATAACGAGATGACCTGATCTTTTCCCGTCGTTCAAACTGCCTGCGTCATTGTAACTTTTGACAGGTAATAAGTATCCAAACTTTTGCGCGACTGTGTAACCATCGATCAATAACCTTTCCTTTTGTACATACTTGTTAATTAAACAAATAAGCTCACCATTAAACCAACTCTCGTCCTTATTGATTAGGAACAAACAGCCGATCAGAACACCATTCGGATCATAGTTTCATGGGATTTTGTGCACTTGAAATTGAGTTTTCAGGATTTTTCTTACGCTTAAGTGACCATAAGTAGTAAACTTAGTCGAAGAATAATACATGTTCACTGTTTTATCTCTTAATTGGGGACACCTAACAAGATAGAAAACGTAAAGTTACTATATTCTTTACCACGCTTACGTATGAATTTTAAAGCATATTTTTCAGTTTTTTAGTTGATCTTAATTCTAATGGATGCAAGAATGTCGTGGAATTTTGTTATGTGAATTTATCACATAAATTACAAATTCACAATGCATACATGAATTTATTTAAATAAACCGTTTACTTTATGTACATATGTATTTTTGCATGTTTTACCCAGATTCGATTAAACCTCTCGTAAAATTCTTTACCTTATTTGACCTTATGTATATGATTAAATTGAACTAGTCAATCAAGTATGTATGTACATACGCACACAGCTCCTTAAAATATAAACCGGAATTATTTTACTCCTTTAAAATATTCTAAAGTTCTGGATTAATACCCAAAAAAATATATAATTTGACAATACATAATTAATTACAGAAATCTACTGGCGCTGTATGTATTTTTCTGCTGAACATCATTAACCTCATTAAGACCAAATTCACCGTATGATGTATTTTTCTTGCCATTACTTGACCACCGAATACATCATATCTCGTATTATTATTAAATTTGATAATTTGTTATTGACTACCAAAACCAAGAATGAAAATAGCAGGGTTGGCCAAGATAGTTTAACAAAATACAAGATACAAGATAAAAGATACAAAATAGTATTTGTATCTTGTATCTTGTGTAACGTGAGAGCATCTTATCTTGTATCTTGTATCTGAACTTTCGCAAAAAGTATTTTGTATTTTGTATCTTGTATCTGGACAAATTATTTCGCCCATAATTTATTTTAAATATTAGTCAAGATACAAGATAAATTTTTCAGCCTCACTAGCACATTCCAGGGGGAAATATGAGAATTTTATGCCTGTTTGTAAAATTGAAAAACTTTATCACGCATTTAGTGGGGATACAAACAATTTTAAAAAGTTAAGAAAGAGTACTCAATGCACAAATTTGTTAACCCTTGTTTGCATAAATTATTTGATAGTACTAAACTGAATGAAGGCGATTGGAACGATAATTTTTAAATGTTCATTTTTTGATATGCAAAGCTACAACTAAAGCCATTAATGCAAGCTAAAAGTTTTCCAAATACATCTGTCGATAATATTAAAGAGCAGTAACGTAATGCAAACATATATCTTTCGGTAAAATAGATAATATAATACTTTTGATAGTTTGAAACATGTAATAGCTACTAGCAATTATCTAAGTAATTTGTTATATTACCTGTAGAAACACGGTAAAACAAATTACCTAGTTATTGCATGATTCTTTTCAATCCCGAAATAAGGTATCTTGTATCTTGAAAAAAGTATTTCAAATACATATTTTGTATCTTGTATCTGGAACCACGCTATTTACTAAAAGTATTTTGTATCTTGTATCTTGTGTACTTGGCTAGTATTTGTATTTTGTATCTTATATCTTAGCGTTCCAATCAAAATATTTTGTATCTTGTATTTTGTATCTTCGTATCCAAGTATCTTGGCCAACCCTGGAAAATAGGAAAAGTTGAAAAACTCCATGGAAAGCAGTGGAAAATTCCATAAGAAAAAGTGGTGTTTGTGTGACTATTTCCAGCCAAAATTTTGAACTTTTTCTATATCAATGCAATGTTAAAAAGTGGAATTTTCGAGTTTTTTGAATTTTCCAAATTCAGAAAAACTCAAAATTGGTAGGGAACGGCTTTTCATCAAATTTAATGTCGGTATCCATGAGGTTAAGCATCCTATAAATACTATCATACATAAATATGTCGATATGTACATATGTTTAACTCGCATACAAAATTTCGGACACCAGGAACGAAATATATTGTGTGCTCATACGTGCAAAAAATTAAATTTCACATTGTTGGTGCAACCATTCGTTAACCATAGTCATGGAGTCCTACCCATGTCCGTGTTTATGGATGTATACATGTGAGCCGGCAGTATGTTCAGTGTTTGTCGAAAGTGCTATTGACTGATAAAACAGAATGCCGTTGAGGCAATTATTTACCAATAAACAAACAAGTTTACTCCTTCACGGGGCATCTTTCCGTGTAGAAAATGGGATAAAATGCTACCAACAAGTCGATCTTCTAGCTCAGTCAAGTCTTAAGCGCCCCTTGAGAGTTATCCATAACCGTGTTTACAAACATACATATGTACAAAAGTTACAAAATTATCCATACATTACAAAAAATTAGATCCTGCCACCATGTGGAAGACGCTAACTGGACTCTCTGGAAATAGCAAGTGAGATATATAATCAGAAACTGATGGTGTCACGCTCCCATTTTTCCATCGTACTTGTCTAAATTAAAGCCAGATTTACCGGGATGATCGACCTGCCTGATTATCTACGTACATATGTTTGAAGATGAGGAATTTTAAGCGGGAGTTGCACTATAATTATTTTACTCGTTTTGTTTGCAGTGCACCTAAAGCAACGTTTGGCTGTGGCGGGGATGGAGGTTTCATAAGTTCGCCAGGCGGGACGGGAAGGGTGGACGACTCGAGTGGTTCTGGGCCGCCCAAAATTACACCAGGGCAAAATTCCGGAGTAGGCGATGGAGGTGATGGAGGAGTATTTAATTCCGGCGGGGGCACGGGTTATTACGAGATCAAAAAGAACAACCTTAAAGAGTAGATCCAGTTAAGGGATTTGCTTAGTCGAAAATGTTTATGCTCATTAAATCCATTGTTTACATTATTTAAATATGATTCATGTTCTCCCGCTGTTTTGTAATTCCATTTAAATCTGAGGTAAAATAAAATAAATATTATTTATTTACTAAGCAAATAATAAGCATAAAATTTTCATAGACATCAATATTATGTATGTAGGCATGTGTCAAATATTGCGTAATTAGAGAAATATTAAATATTTAATAGCGTTAAAAGGTGTCACTTGAAAATGATGGTACATATGTTCGATTGTTCTAAGGCAATAGATCCTTTTATAAATACGTATTTAAGACTAACTTAATGCATAAAAATAAGGCAAATTTCTTTTACATACATATGTATGCATTTCTTATTAAAAATGTGTCTTCCATAAAAACAAAAACCATACGTCAACAGAACAAGTATATGCACCCCGGTTTCACTCCATATGTCCACAATCGTGGATAAATCAAACATGGGTTTTTGGGTAGGAATTCAGAAAACAGGAACTATCCACTAAATCAACCTATCCCACAATTTAATCATTTACCGTTTAATAAGGAGACAAGATACCGTTTGTCTCACACAAAATTCCTCTTCTAAATACAGTCGGTGTTAAACTTTCACAAAATTATTACCACATTCGTATCTTAATGGAAATAGGGATCTCTGCATCCTTCTCTCCGCATGGTTGGAGAACGACATACTCGACTCTAAAATCCACTTTCTACGTATCTAAATTATTTTTTTATTTAGTTGCCAAGGAAAACAAGAATATGGCAGAATATAATAAATATGTAAATTCACGTGATTTCGACTATGTGGCTATGGTACATGTATTAAAATTAAAGACATTTTTTGCTGAGAGGTGATTTGGCCGACCTCGTAATGCCTACAACATTGGAAATTCAAATTCGCATTACTTTTTCAATAGTGGACCGATTTTGAAAATTCAAAGTGTTCTTGAACCCTTAGGTCAATTGGCCAAATGTATTTTCCCAGATTTTCGAAATACGACCACACCCACCCGGAATTAAGGTCACAAGATAAAAAAAATATGTGAAATACAATTAATTCTTACTGCGAAATTTCAATTTATAAAAATTGGGTTGCATGGCCAAAATATTGCACTATACCCATGTCACAATAATTAATATCAGAACGGTCACTTACCACTCTCCCAAGGGGGTGTGGCTTAGGGCGCCTTGTTGGTCTAAACCAAACCATGGCATGCGATATGTCATTTTCCTCAGCTCAACGAGAAGATTACGACGGTCTCATTGAAAGTTAGACACCACCCCCTCAGGGGGTGTGGCTCACGGCGCCCATTCCACTTGCCTTGAAATATAGCATGTGACATATCATTTTCCTCAGCAGACAGATGTGATTTCAACGGGGTAATTGAAATTTAGACACCAGACCCACAGTGGGTGTGGTTCATCCGCCCTTTCCATGTTCGTTGGACATACATATGGTATGGTACGGCATATCATTCCTATCTGCGGACAGAGATGTCAACAGTGTAATTTAAATTTTGAAACTACTCCCCCAGAGGGTGTGGTTCATAGCATTTATTCAATTCCAATTTTGTCGTGCGACATGTCATTTTTATCTGCTAAACGATTAGATTCAGACAGATCGACTAAAATCCAGCAGCCACTCCCAAGAGGGTGTGGCTGAAGACGCCTTTCTCACTTTAGTCTACATATTCACGGTGTAATTATTTTTTCTCAACTAATCGAGGCGATTTAGACATGTCAATTGCAATTTAGGATCCACTTCGCCTGGGGTGTGGCTTGTGGCGGCTTTTCTAATTTTGAATGCTCGAAATATGACGTGTGATGTGTTAGTTTTTAAATTCGAGAAAACCATTTCGAATGAGTAATGCTTTAAATAAATCTCTAATTTAAGCCAATAGATCTTACCTTGGAGTCCTATCTGCAACTATTCTTTGGTGCGAATGAGAAAAATAATAAACATAAAAATCGCTTGTGTTCGACTGAAAATTAGCTAACCTGATTGTGCGAAAGGTTCATAAAAAATTTTAAAACCAATGAAGTGTAAAATCAGAATGACGCTTTAGTTTTCCAAACCATGAGCAACCAAGTCAAACCTAAATAGTGAATGCTGATAACGATAAAAAATTATATGTTGTGATTTATAAATGTTTTGCAGGCACCTGATAAGAGGCATGTAGATATCAGTTCCATAATTCCTGAGAAAAATGATACACATAAGTGCGAAAGGCGTTTTCAGCCACACCCTGTTGGGAGTGGCTGCTGGATTTTAATGCGTCCGTCTGAATCTACTTGTTTAGCAGATAAAATTGACATGTCGCACGACAAAATTCGAATAAGCTTGAATAAGTGCTATGAATCACACCCTCTGGGGGAGTAGTTTCAAAATTTAAATTACACTATTAACATCTCTGTCCGCAGATAGGAATGATATGTATGTCCAACGACTATGAACAACAACGCAATTTTTGATGAGTTCGGAGCCCCTCCATGTTTCACCTCTTCCGCGTAGGCCGTGGTCAAGCGCGCGGTATGTGATGACGCCTTTTCGTGGTGGATGTAAATTTTGGACTCTTCTCCAGGGTAGAATTTCGCAATTTTGCTTCAACCAAAGGCTTCAACACATCCCACATTTATCTGGCTACATTAATTTTCACATTTGGAGGAACTTTGAAAAGTCCCATGGGTCGTCGTCCTGAGATAACTCCAATGACTATTAGCTGGGAACCGTAGCTTTCCTTACTTTCACACACTCAGTCTTCGGACCCGGATTGTCCCTCTTGTACATAGCAGATTTTTCTTTTCCCTTTGCAGTTGTCCACCCTTGACTATGCCTCGTTGAAATTCACCACAAACTCGGACCTCCCACCCGCCAGGTGGCGCTCGTACAGTTTTCTGGAATTCGTCTTGCGGCTAGCGACATGATTGGGCTTCGCCGCATGTACGACGCATTTGTTTCGGGTAACTTTACCCAATTAATGTTGAATTACATTATTAATAGTTGTGTGACTCACTCCGACCCTTTTGGCAATTTATCTCTGACTGGGGAAATTTTCCTAGGACGTCAATCATGCAATTCTCTTTTTGACAGTTTTCGTCACTTTCCTTGTATTTAGGTTGTTTTTAGGTAGTTTGGGTAATCTCAACGACTCCAATTGACGTCAATATCTTCAAAATTAACCATTTTATGAATTAGACCCAGATTGACCTCGTGACCTTCCCGTTCAAGTTGTCTTTTTATCGTTCCACGCGAGCTCCTACCCTTGGAAAGGGTTTTTAAAGTATGTACCTCCATTTCTGCTGACGCTTTCCTCGCCATTTGACTTTCAAAAATACGGGAAAAATTCTAAGCTGTTGCCAATGATCCCCCCCGTCAACAGTAAAAAGAATTAGGCGCCACCGCATCTACAACTCCTGCAATCAGCGGGGCAAAGTGATCACACATGAACTGATCATGCTCTGTACATACGTTCGACTAAATGCCAAAGTGTCGCTAAATGGCTACACACCTTTCGTTTATCAAATTTATTCGCCTTGCGGCACCCGGGGGTGCAAATTACACCAAAACGTATTTAGTGTATCGAAACATGTAGTGGCTTGTTGATGTATGACATCACATATACATACATACAACTCTAAAGGAATGTGGGAATGAATCACGATGGATTACTACCGGATGGAGTATCATTATGGTGTACATATGTACATATGTAGTAATAATGAAGATTACCGTTTATTTGTACATACATACCACGGCAATGGTACCGTTACCAGTGTGTAACGTTTCATAACAAACCCTGTATAGGAGTTGATTACCAAATCATTACTATGACGGAGTAACTACACTGTAAACAAAATTGTCATCGACGATGTCAATATGTGACTTAACCGTAACTGTTAAGATTTTGCTACGACGTGGTCAAAAAATTTCACTGAATGGTAAAAATGTTTACCCTGACGAGGAAGATTTGTATCCAAACGGGTAAAAGTTCGTCACCACGTCGAAGTAAAATCTTTACCGTCACGGTTAAGACACATATGGACATCGTTGGTGTGAAATCAATACAATTTTGTTTAGAGTGTACTTATTTATGTGGCTCGGATTACCTGACAGATTTTCTAAAGTGGATATCTGACCGACCTAAATAACCTTTAAGTCATAAATATACTAAACTGGTTCCAACGAATTACGTACATACGTACATCGATCACATTACTAATCCTCAATCACTTTTCTTTCCATCCGTCAAACTGATAGGGGTCGACATCCGGATGGTGATGAGCTTAAATACGTGCCAAGCTGTGTACGCCGTATGAAATCGACGACCGCGGATGGTGGGAAAATGAGCGGGGAACTCTTTGACAATGTTGAAACCATTCATATTTAGAAATAAATTTTAATTAAAATTTGAAAAATAAACAGTGCTCTTCTAATCTGCGATCACCCTCCGTACAGGGTCGAAATGAAATTTTCATATAGTATCATAGGCTTGGACTGGACACTGTCCAGTCCAAGCCAATATGCCCAGTGGACACATGACACACTCTTAATAAGGTTACAGCAAATTCATAAAGAGGAAAACCATAAGTAAATGTACAAATATAGAATTTACAGTTTAAGGAGTTTCTAAGCCGAAGGCCAGAATATTTGCTGCGGTGCACCTGGATGCAAAATAAAACATAGACCGTATGGTTGAAGATACCAATAGTATACTAATTTATTTCAAACTACTCACTAATCTTTAATTTAATACAAATACGTAATTAAGACCAATTATGCATTAAACTAATGCATCAAACAAGGTAACACCACTTCAGAAATCAATCTAAGCGATCATATTATTATCAATAAGTTTTAATAGTTCAGAGAATAAATGTTGTTGAAGTATATATCGGGACAGTTGTATAATTCAGTTCAACACCCGGCATATTCAAACCCGTTACCCCCTTTGCTGCAAGTGAGCAAGTTATCAAAAGAACTTTTGCACCGACAAGCCTGAGTCCCACCACAGTCACGCCAACAACATGGAGGGGTTAGGCTAAGAAACGAGCAGTCCAGTGAATTACTTCTGTCACAATCCGAGTTCTTTTCGCACTATTAATACATTTTGGTTGTTGCATTGTAAATTTATTTCTTAACTAAGTTCAGTTTTGATAGATATTCAGGGGTAAATATACATAGTTGAAAATTTCCTTACACCGTTTGGATGCAGACATTTGCAAGTGTGTCCATTCGAGCATAATTTCCTTAAATCTCCAGTGCATTCAGGACATTGACTTGTCTCCTGGCACTGAAAGAAATGTTAAAATTTTTATAGTAATTTGGTGTTGGCTGGTGTAAACAATAAATATGTGAATTTGCACAAGGGCAAAGTTGCCTGATCATTCCCAATACTTGATAGTACTAATTACGTTAATTTTAGTGCCCTTGGATAAAATTCGTGGCAACCTTGCGAACCAAAGTAGTTACATAAGTTGGCAAAATTAGCTGTAAATTTCAGTTTTAACGCTGATTCTGTAGTATGGAGATATTGGTGGTATAAAATCATTTGAGTAGCTTTGTTGAGCGAAAATTCGGCTCTGGGTTAAGACAACGTATAGGTTTTTATGCACGTATTGTGTCCTACGGCATATCCAAAAGATAACAAGATATGAGCAAGCTTCAGTAAGATACGTATTTGTAATCGCTCTCCACAGAAATTGCAAGACCCTCAGCCTAATCTTATCATAATAATGACCGTAACGCTATTCGCCTAAATAAATAATGCCTTAAAATGCCTTATCCGTCTATTCAAACCAATCCTCTGCTGGGAATCCAAGGGCCATCCTTCTGTTTATTGGCGGTGCCTATAGTAATGAAGCCTGTTTGGGTGTAGGTAGTGGGTGTGACTGAATGTTCCCCCGTATGCGGAATAAGGGACGGTGTGGCCACAATGGAGTTTAACAGGAACAAGAAGTATTTATTAATTCTAAGCTGGAGCACAGCCAAGAGATGCTCCTCAGCCGAAGCTCAACCGAAGACTCCCCCGAATTGTACAAGACATGTCTTTATAAGTAACTATTACAAGATATAAATAACTAGAGTAAGGTAGAAAGTGCGTACGTGACCACTCTTACGTATTAGCCTTCCTATTAACTTGTGTTGGTACCATGTATTCTTTTATTAGTCTATTTTCCTATTAGTCTGGTGTTAGCTACAAACCACTCAATAGATGATTTGATTACTCCTACATATGAATATTTAATAATAAATGTCTACATTTATACTATCACCCCTTCAAAAAAGCCCCCTCTCACCTCCTTGTGGTGAAAGTGGTCGGTCCTATTGGTAACCCTAAGCGTTTTCTAAGGGCTCCTCTTTCTCTCCAAGCTTTTCCTTTGGAATACGGCTTTTTTAACAGTGATAACCCTTTTCTAAGTCTCTCCTCATTTTCCAATTTAAACTTTAATTTCCAATTTTTCCTAGACTGATAATTTCTAATTTTCCGTTGTCTTTTTAACTCTTCTACGCATGGTTCGGTAGAAACTGAGAGAACTTTAAAATATTTACTAACATCTTTGATAGGTTGATGTATTTCCATGTCGAGGGTGCCCAATGCATCCTTCGCATCTTTAACCACTCCGGGAGTGCCCAATGCATCTTCCGAAATTTCGTTAAAACGTCCGGGAGTGCCCAATGCATCTACCGGTTCTTCTAATTCTACAAACTCGACAGAACCTCCACGAGGTACTTCAAAATTAAAATTACCTTCCATAACTTCAAAATTTCTCTCGTTTTCTATCCACTCCATATCTATCTGCTTTTTCTCATTTAAAATTGAACATAAATTTTTGATATCTGAATCTTGTATTTTATCTAATATTTTCTTGACAACTTCGAAATTAAATTTTTCCAACTGTAATAATCTAAGTGTTTGATTCTTTGTTATAAAATCTCTATTTTGATCTCTAATCTGAGCTACTTCTTTACACCATTTCCAAATTTTCTCATAAATTTCAAACTTATTTCCTACGATAATATTTTTACCATTTGATATTAATTTTGTGTAATCAGAAATTGGGGTTTTCTTACATTTAGGGAACTTATACACATTACTACAAATTAATTTTGACTCATTCAGGTTTACATTTTCGGTTCCATACATTTCCTTGAACTTATTCCAACAGCATAACAACATTCTACTATCTTTTCTAGCATATTCAATCGCTCTAACTGGTAACGGTCTTGTAATCCAATAGAATCCTTGATATTCCTTATTTAACTCTAATCCTAATAAATTTTTAACTACATTCGCTAAACTTTCTTTCTGATTAATACTTAACCTAGTACAATAAACTGACTGTAAATCTATAACTCCGACAAAAAACATATCAAAATCACGCTGAAATCGTGGTACATCATTTTCCGAAAAAACTAACTTCAAAATACTTTCATTCAGAAAAATTGGCTCTAAAAACTCTTTCATAAAAGGATACACTAAAAATGGATCTACTATGAAATCATAATCATAACTCGAAATCTGAATTAAAGCAATACATTCTCTATAAAAATACATATTACCAAACTCGGTATCAATTGCTATTTCTTTCTGCTGTGACAAATGTGAGCACATAAACTTAAATCTTTTTTCATCATTAATTAACATTACATTTCCTTCATCTACTTTCCTTATTTCCAAATTCTCTGGGCTTAACTTAAACGACATAACTCTTTCATAATACGGGTGTACAATTTTATCAAAAAATAGTAACTTATTTAACATAATACGACGATTAATGTATTCTTGACATCGCTGTGGGATTGACGGTTTCTTGAACATTTTGAGTTTCTTAATATAGTCGATTTTGCGTTGTTGCGTCTTCGTGAGTGAAGCGGTGGAGAATTGGCTTCCACCGTGAATATCAGAGGAAAACGAATTACCTCCGTCGAGAGCGAACAAATCCTCTCGTGACATTTTCTACAAGATGAAAAAAATAGCATATAAGCAAAAGAATTATACAAAAAATTAAACAAAAATTATTTTGACTTTCCTATCGTAGCTAGTTTTCTATAATCTACTTTAGTTCTTGCTCTGAGTTGTCTAACAACTGGAATTTTTGGATCTTGATGCGTAATTACTTTTCTAATTGAAATTGGAACTTTGCCACTTCTGGGTGGTCTACTAAAATAAGGTTTTAAATCTGAAACATGTCTCTTTGGAATAAGACGAGAACATACGTCCATCGTGTACGTATCTGCATTTCTTTTTAGGATTTTAAAAGGACCTAGCCATTTAGGCAAAAACTTTTGATTAATATTACTGTCTTTATCTGACTGCGCGTGGTTTCTAATCCACACTTCCTGACCTACTTGGAAAACCTCTTCTCTACGTTTCAAATCAAAATACTTTTTATTACTTTCATGAACTTTTGCAATTCTAACTTTTACTCTTGAAATTAAATCTCTAATGGATTCGCGTAATTTTTTAGCAAAATCTAATCGCTCTTCTTCTGACCATTGTGTAATATCTGTCTTTAACGCTCTGTCAATCGGTAAAGCAACTTCTCTCCCAAGATTGAGAATTGCTGGAGATACTTGGGTGGTATCATTCACCATACTACGTAAAACAAGTGCAAATTTCTGGATATTTTCATCCCATTTACCATGTGTGCTTTCAATAAAAGTAGCAATCATTCGTATTAAATCTTGATTTGTTCTCTCCGACCTACTTGGAATCGGATGATATGCTGAAATTGTAGCATGTCGTACTGACCATTCTTTACATAATTTCTTCATTTTTTTGTTAATAAAATGTGAACCGTTGTCGGTAATGATGCATTTTGGAGCACCGTATCTACAAAAAATTTGGTCTTCTAAACACATTGCAACTTTTTCGCCACTCGCCTTCGTCATTGGAAAAAGTTCTACCCAGTTACTCAACTGGTCTATAACTACTAAACAATACGTATTACGACGTCTAAAACTACGCGGGTAAGGCCCGATAAAATCTATAAAAATTGTTTCAAATACTGCGTTCGCAATGGGAACGTTTCCTAATAAACCTCTAGGTTTCATACGATCAGTTTTATACTGCTGACACTTTTTACAACTTTTAACATACTCATGAATATCCTTGTTCATTCCATTCCAAAAAAATCTTCGCTTAATTGAATTTTGAGTCTTTTTGACTCCCATATGACCAGCTTCTGCAGAGTCATGAAAAACAGTCATCACCTCACCAATGAGTGACTTAGGAACTACCGGGACCGCAACTTTGCCTACCGGATAACTAACAACTTCCGGGACCGCAACATTGCCTACCGGATAACGATTTGGGACCGGACGTCTCCCTACCAAATCTGTACGTACAATATGTGGCGTGAGAGCCAATAATTCGGGCGTGAGAGCCGATTTAAACACGGGCGTATGAGCCATCACTAACTTTGGCGTATGAGCCACTAAATTCTGACTTCCTGAAGTCGATACTGGCGTATGAGCCATACTATTACTACCGTGCACATCAACATCAATTTCATCAATACCTGAAGCAATGAGATCAGGACTTTCAAACATTTCAACAAACCTAAACAAAACTTCATCTTTCACGAGATATCTCTTTTTAAACCAACTAAAATCACCTTTTCTACTTTCTGGGATCCCTTCTAACATACTAAAATCTTCCTTGGCCAGAGGTCGATTCTCTACAATTTTACGAATTACTTGCAGATTAATATCTACTTTCTGGGCTGATTTTACTTTCTCCAAAAAATTATTACAAAAACTAAGTGCAAAAATTGGCGTACAAATGTCCCTATTCCCTTCGAGATGATCAGGCTCGTTAGGTAAAGGTTCTACCGGATCTCTAGATAAACAATCCGCTACAATATTCTTTACACCACTACAATGGATAAATTTGCATCCCCACTCTTGTATTTCTTGTGCCCATCTAGCTATTTTCTTCGATTTACTCTGCATTCTGCGTAAATAAACTAAAGCTTTATTATCAGTAATGACTGTAAATTCTTCACCATATAAAAAATCTTTAAACTTATTAATTGCCAAAATAATAGCAAGACATTCGATTTCGCATGCATGCATTTTACTTTCTCTTTCATTCAGACTTTTACTAGCAAAATAAATAGGTCTTTCTTGCCCTTCAGGGTATTGTACCATTACTGCAGCTATTCCAACATTACTACCATCTGTGCGAATAAAAATTGGCAAATTATAATCTATACCTGTCAACATTACATCTGTAAGCATTGCATCTTTTAACGCCTGAAATGCTTTCTTCTGTTCAAGACCAAACTCAAATTTCATATTTTTCTTCAACAATTTATATAGCGGTTGCGCTAATGTACCAAAATTGGGGATGAACCCTGCATACCATAAACACATACCATGAAATCTCAATACTTTCTTTACCGTTCTCGGTTCTGGGAAATCTCTAATTGCCCTAACTTTCTCCTCTTGCATTTTTAATCCGCCTTTAGAAACAATATGCCCTAAATATAGCAGTTCTGACTTTGCAAATTCACACTTTTTCATATTAATACTTAGACCAGATTGACGAAGCCGCTGTAAAACCTGTTCTATATTTCTTAAATGTTCACTCAAAGTTTTTGAAAAAATAATAATATCATCCATGAAACAAAAACAACACTTCATTAATAACCCTTCTAATATTCTTGACATCAAAGAAACGTAAGTCATTGGCGCATTCTTTAATCCAAATTGAGTAACTAACCATTCGTACAATGAACCATTTGCATAAAAAGCTGTTTTCTCAATACTATCGGGATGCAATCTAATCTGCCAAAATCCTGACTTTGCATCAATAACTGAAAAATAATGCCCTGTTGGCAATAATCTCAAAATCACATTCGCTTTAGGCATCGGCCTACTATTTTTTACTGTAACTGCGTTGAGTTTTTTATAATCTATCGTTAATCGCCATGTACCATCTGGTTTCTTCTGCAAAACTGGATTAAAACCGTATGGAGACTTCGAAGGTCTAATCAAACCTTGCTTTAATAAATCATCTACTTGCCTCTGAATTTCTCTAGATAAATGTGGAGGATAATACCTTGGGGTTTCTGCTATTGGCGTCTCATCTGTCAGTTCAATTTTATGCAACGCAAAACTAGTAACGCCTAATTTTCCATCTTTCCTTGCTACTGTAGGATACTTATCTAACAACTTTTCTATTTTATCATGAACTGAATTAAGTGGAAACTCTGGTTTGGGAATATCTTTAAGAATCATACACATATTTCCTTCTGCATTTCCTAACTTATACACAAAATCTGGTGAATCATTAAACCAATACAACTCTTTTTGCTGATCTGGTACTATTCCATACTTTATAATTGCATCTCTACCAATTATGAAATCACAAACTAACTCTGGAATCACATGAAAATCAATACTAACTACTTTATGTCCCATACGTACATTCATACGTAACACACCAATACTTTTCACTTTACTAGAATCACCAAAAACTATTTCCATCCGTACTGACGTATCTATAAATCTATCTAATCCTAATGCAGCTTTCTTTTTAACTAAACTAAGAGTCGAACATCCATCCAATGCACCTTTAAAATTTCTAATTGATTTGCCGAATACTTCTGAAAATTGGACGGTTGGAATTGACTTGAAATCTAATAGTGGGAGTAACCGCGATCTCGATTCCTCCCTTCCTGCGAGTTTAAATAATCAGAGCTCTGCTCCTGATTATTCTGCCGCTGATTATTAGGAAATGTTCTTGGATAATCATCTCTATACTCCTGCCTATTAGTCTCTTGCCTATTAGTCTCGTACCTATTATTCTCATGTCTATTAGTACTATTGTGGTTCGCGTACATCTTGACTCTGATAATTTGTTCTACTTACTGCTGCCATTACTATCGGATTTGGGCTATTACATTCTTTCACATAATGTCCGAATTGCCCACATTTATGACACTTTATATCCGCTCTAGATTGTCTACCGCGTGTATTTGACGGATTTCTTGCTGATGATCGTCCTCTATAAGTGTTGGAATTGTGTGAACTCCTATTAGTCCCATGCTGAAATGAACCTCTATTTTGCGAATAAGATTGACTATTATTGGATGAATTCTGACTATTATTTGGCCTATAATCTCTATAATTGGATCTATTTCCTTGATTCTGATATCCACCTCTAAAATGTGTTCTACCACGTGAATGATATGATCTATTATTTCCATATTCATGCTCACTTTTCCTCTTTTGTAATTCTTCTCGTAAACCTTTTAGTGGAGGAATTTCTGCAGCTCGATGATTAACTTTCCTGCTCTGCCTATGCAAAATTGTATGAACTTCAGAAACACGTTCCAGCAAATTCTCTATTGTCCATGCATTTAACTCACCAACTAATGCAGAAATTTGGGGATTCAGAGCGTCTCTTGCCCTCTTTAAACTCATGGAATCTGGTTCTGTAGGATCTACTTGCTTTGCTAAATTCACCATTTCATAAATGAACTGTTCACAAGGGTCATTCTCCCCCTGTCTCCTACTATGCAATTGCCTACTTCTTTCCATTTGAACTGTAGGATTATCATATCTAGCCTTAAATTTATCTTTAAAATCATCCCATTTTTGAATAGATGAAGCTACGCTATCGTACCAAAGCTTCATTTCACCTTTCATAATAACTGGAAGATACAAATGATGATCTACATCTGCATAACCTTGTGCACCAAGATAATTTTTACATTTGGAAAAGAATGTTTCTGCGGTCATTCGCCTTTCATCATACTTTGGGACTTCTATGCTTGTATTAAGGTTTGCTACCCTAATTGCTCTACCAGCTAAAGATAATTGTTGAGATAAAAAAGTATTCACACAAGCTTGTTGGGCTGCTGATAACGTTTGAAAGGTTGGATCTGTATTGTCAAATTGAAATTGAGGTGCTGCTTGATTTGCTGCTTGACCTGCCATGTTGCCTATCTCTTCTCCAAACAAATTTCTAAATGCTAATCCATCGTTATCTAACTCTGGGATTTCAATTCGTGGTTGGCGTTTCCTTCTAACTACTGGTTTCCAAATTTGCCTATTTTGATTTTCTAACTTTTGCTGCCTTTCTCGATATCTACGTTCACGTTCAAAACTTTGCTGCTCTTTCCTACTATTTCCTGACATTTGTATAACACATCATTCTAACTATAATTATGCATATTCAATCTCATAAATCACGATTACCATACAAGATAACAGAGAACAAAAAGATAAATGTACCTCGAAATACTTTGACTTCCTTCGCATATACTTCAATGAATGAGAATTAACTTGTCTCGAAAAGATTTTGGAATTCGAAGGAGAATTGACTCTCTTCGTATGCAAACTACTCTGAGTTTAACAAACTCTCAAGGACAAAAAGAACTTCTTCTACCAAAATTATTGCAAGTTCACCTTACCGGAGAAAAACTGATGAGATGACCAGTTCAACGAGATTTCGCCCACTTGCAGGATAGGTCAATGTAGGTGTTTCCCGTCTTTATGTGTGCAATTTCGCCAGCCGTTGCGATGTGGATCTCAAATTGGTCCAATGCCCACTGCAGTACTTCTATCTCGAATTCAAGTTTTGGGATTAATCTGTCCTCTGGGGTAATTGGTCGGGTTTGGGAATATGTCGTCTCCACGCCAAATCTGGTAAGTCTCAGGATTGCCGTTATCTCGGAATTTGAAATATTGGTTATGAGCTCAAGCATCAGGGATATTCTTAATAAACGAAACAGATTTTAGTTACACATTCACACATAAATCACAAATTTTCATACAAAATGCCTCTTTTCTCTCAAAATTACTTTTCTTCGAAAAACTTTACTTCAACGTACTATATTTAACTGAATTTGACGGAATTACTAGATTTAAAAGTTTAAAAACACTAAATAGAAAATCTTCTATTACCCTCAGCTCAAAAATCACTTCAAATTTACTTTAAAACTCTTTCTGTTGCCCAAAATTTTTTTTAAAACTACTTAAAAATTACTAAACTGCATGTACCAAAAACAGGAAATTGGCAAGGTCGCCAGTGCAAGACCCCCAGCCTAATCTTATCATAATAATGACCGTAACGCTATTCGCCTAAATAAATAATGCCTTAAAATGCCTTATCCGTCTATACAAACCAATCCTCTGCTGGGAATCCAAGGGCCGTCCTTCTGTTTATTGGGGGTGCCTATAGGAATGAAGCCTGTTTGGGTGTAGGTAGTGGGTGTGACTGAATGTTCCCCCGTATGCGGAATAAGGGACGGTGTGGCCACAATGGAGTTTAACAGGAACAAGAAGTATTTATTAATTCTAAGCTGGAGCACAGCCAAGAGATGCTCCTCAGCCGAAGCTCAACCGAAGACTCCCCCGAATTGTACAAGACATGTCTTTATAAGTAACTATTACAAGATATAAATAACTAGAGTAAGGTAGAAAGTGCGTACGTGACCACTCTTACGTATTAGCCTTCCTATTAACTTGTGTTGGTACCATGTATTCTTTTATTAGTCTATTTTCCTATTAGTCTGGTGTTAGCTACAAACCACTCAATAGATGATTTGATTACTCCTACATATGAATATTTAATAATAAATGTCTACATTTATAAAATTAAGTCAGTTAATTAGGAATTCATAATTTTCATGAAACAATTATTTACCTCGACACACCTGCAAACGTTTGAGGTACACATTTTGTACGGCGTACTTGCTGGACAGTTTTTGTGTGAACAGTCCGAGTCCGCAGTGCACTGAATCAGACATTTACATATATATACATAATATGGATTACAAACTCTTGCATTTAAATATGTATGTATGTACAATGCGAGTTGAAATGGTTTACCTCGCGACAAGCACAGACATTGTTCACACATTTTTTGAACGGCGTGTTTGCTGTGCAGTTAAACGTGGAGCACTCAGAATCCGAATTACACTGCAATAAATCAAGAGTTTTTAAACATATCTTCAAGTCATATATCGATGTATGCAATTATATAGTCCAGATTTCAATGAACAGTCGCATAAAGTAAATCAATTGGATACCTCAAACCGACAAGGAGTACAATGTGTGGCAAGCGTTTCTGCCCCGATGCACCTACTCCGTGTCCACATTTACGCCGTGCTGTGCATGTTGCGTCGGTTTGGCACTAAAAAGAAACATATTTAGAAATTAGTTAACTAAGTTCTCGTTATGCACTGTTACAATTAGCATAGAACTTGTAAGTTCAGGAAACATACATATGTAAAGATGGACATATTTATATTTATGTCAAGTAACCCTAAGCCAGAATTCGCAAGAGCGAAAGTAGGCATAAGTACACCTTTACTAATTAACAGTGTTTCTACTGTTAAAAAGACGGGGAAGAATTAATGCACAATACTGCTTTTAATGTTTTAAAGACGTCAACATGGCAAGAAGTACATTAAAATGCATAAAAACAATTTTTGCTCAAAATGCTCGATGAGATATTTAATTTATTGTAGTAATAGTAGTTAACTATATTTTTAAAAAAGTAGTTGCAATCAAGATTTAACCACTTTTCTAGGCAAGTGAAAAACAGTGCGCATAAAAAGAAACACGGTTACATAAGTAATAAATAAATAGTCCAGTAAATGACATGTTTACTTAATTCCATTTTACATAAGATAAATTTTATGTTCGTAAATGCGGTTTCGTCACTAACATTTGCAAAATTTAGAGCTTTTTGCAAAATTTTGTAATTTTTTTGAGAATTTACAGAATTCTTAAAATTTTAAAACTTTACAAAATGGACAAAATTTAGTAAAAAAAGGTACAGTTTCGAAAATTTTACTAAATTTTATGAAATTTGACCAAAAACGTAATTTTTTTTAAATCGGTTTTCTAAAATTTAAAAAAATGATAAAGGAAATTCCCATTATAGGCCTAGCGCTTGACCTGAATGATACGCCAGTCAAACCATTATGCATTTATATTATTCACTCATGGGATATTACAACATATCCAATGGGCATGGAAACTTTTGAGTGTCACTTTGTGAAGCTTTCCCCCTAAGAAAACTAATTTCATATCGTTACTCTTAGTGTAGCAAAGCAAACTGAACATCTCCCAAAAGTATTACAAATGGGTTGTCATTTCTGGGTCGGGACATGTACAATCCGTATTAACTGTACACTAAATTAACAGATAAAATATTTACTTTAAAAGTTATTTATATTTTTTTAATTATGCGCATATACATACAGTATACCGTAACATACCTGTTTGTAACAACCGCAGGTATTATTTACACACTGCGCGTGCATTCCAGCCGGGCAATGTAGTCGGCAATCATTTGTATTATAGCACTATCAACACAAATTCCATTAAGAAAACTTCAAATTTCTGTATCCATACGTTATGCAGCATACATATTTACATATGCATATCCATCTATGCATTTAAAATCCAAGAAACTACTCTCTTACCCCTGCAACACAATCGCACTCTACTCTGTTTCCATCCCGTATGCAAAGTTTTGTAATGTGCGATATGTTATTATTTCGGCATTGATTATTGTAACTGATATACTCTAAACTGAATTCATCTCCAGGGCACTGTTGTGTCCCGTTTGCGGTACACTATGCAAATTAAGTATTTATGTAAGTAAACTTAATTACACATTTTTCTATGGATAACTTACATAATTACGATCTGTGCAGACGCACTCCCTCCCAACTTTTTTGAGGATGCAGTTAGCCGTTTTTCCGGCCGGGCAACGCATTCTGTTGAAGTCGTTGTTACTCCGGCACTATATTTAATGAAAGGAAAGTACCTGATTAAGTTCATGTTGTGTATGTAAGATCTCTCCACGGCGAGGTTTAAATTAATACCTGGTTACGGATGCATTGACAACGATTTGATGTGAAATTACAGTACGGTCCGTAGGGAGAGGAACATGTCAAGTTTGACCGTGTGCACCCTCCATCCGAGTCACACTGAAATTTTTGTAAAACGAGTTTATCCTATTTAAACGGTTTATATGTATGGATTTAAATACATAGATACATACCTTTTCAGGCACAAATGCAAATATGTACATATTTAGCATGCAATTATATAATAAATATTAAGTTAACCAAAATTTTGATTTGAAATCAATGCACAACACCGATTTAACCAAAACATCGCCTATATTTCAAGAAGAGCAAAATTTTGAAAACTTCCGAAGTGAAATTTCCATATTTCAATACATCTAAAATTTATTGATCTTAAAACTGTGAAAATTGTAACTATACAATGGCAACGAGTTATTAGCAAAATTTTGAGTTGAAACTAAATTTGATTTTAATTAAGAAATTCATTATTACTAGAAATGCATCCTATCAGTTTTAATCAGCATGCAAATAATTCGATTTGTTATATGTTACCGTGCAAATGTACGTTAACTATTTTTATAACTCTAACTTCCCAAAAGGTTGGCTAATCTGGACTTGTTTGATATCCTTAATATATGCATTTAAAGGACCTTTCAAAATGTGAAATTCATTTCAATAAACCTCGTGACTATGTATGTTAGGTTGAGCACAAATTAGATATTTGGCATGACAATGCAAGTATAATGGGAGTATAAAAGTTAAAGAATTTTTAAAATCCGGGCAAAACTCAATTTTTAGTGAATCTTAGGATAATTTTCATGGATTTTCCATGTTTCCGTGGATTTTCCACACCCACCGAGCGGTTGTGGTGGGCGAAAGAAGGGGCAATGAGTCCAACCAACATGGATTCTTGGTCGAACATAATCGACTAGTTGCGAAACTTAGTGGAGCACTAGTAAGCAAAAGCTCTATAAATCTACATGCGTCCGAGTTCTGTTGAGGCCTTTATGAGTATATTAAAAACCCATGAAGCCCAGTGGAATGTAGGCATGCTACACTCATTTTATACCACACCCACAAAGTACTATTTACAACAAATCCCAAGAACTTTCAAATCTGGGGTGATAAGAACGATGTACAGCACCACTCTGAAATTACATATGTACAAGTTACCGGATCTATAGGTGGTCCCCCTGCAACGCAATTACATTCTTCCCTGTATCGATCGGCTTTGCATACTTTCACAATTCTTGATTGGTTAAACTTGCAAAGCCTTTCATAATTTGAAACGGCATTGCGAGGAAATTTATCTCCTGGTCAGGCCTGAGTTCCATTTGTGGTACACTGTTCAGATTCATATGTAAATAGGTGAACTTAAATTAAGAGTTTATATTGAAAATTTTTTCAATTTAGCTGTTGGCTTACGTAATTATCACCGGTGCAAACGCATTCCCTGCCCTCCCTTTTCAGGATACAGCTGGCCGTTTCTCCCCCCGGGCATGACATCCAGTTACAATCAGTAACATCTTGACACTATATAAATATGTATTGGATAAGTTAATAAAATAATCATCATTAACCCAATCATGATGTATACATATATCCGGTGGAGTGGATGTATAATTGATACGGTCACCTTATTTTGTACGCATTGACAGCATTGCGATGTCCGATTACATAGCGGCCCGCCGTTCAAGCCCGTGCAACCACCACGATCAGGGCTAGTGATCTTCATGGTCCGAATTGGTCCGGATCAGACATGATCCGAAACCGGACCGAGGCCCGAAACTGTCAATCCGAAACCGGACCGAAATGTTTTTTCTCGGCTCAGAACCGGACCGGGACCGAACCGCTCAATCCGGGCGGACCGAAAGATATACCCCTATAGTGTAAAAACTAACGTTCATTCATATTCATATACCTACTACATAAAAAATTGTACTACATATTTATTACATACATTATGTATGTATGATACATACATATGTATGTCACTATGTCACTATACAAAAGTGGTACACAGAGTCATATGTTTCACGTTTAATTAAATGTATCCGGGGACATTTCGTTCCAGTGTAATTCCATTGAATTGGATATCACCAATTTATAGTTTTGGCAATAAATGATACGGTAATAGTGTACAATTTTTAAAATACATTTATGTATGTATGTACGTAAGCAGCCTCGACATGTTCAATAATTTTTCGGTCAATGTCAAGGTTGGCAAAATTGAAATAAGGCAGGTGTGTTTTTCCTAAAGTAATTCTTAATTACTTCTGGATATTTTCGTCATGCATGCTTTAGGTTTTTTAATATATATCTTTACACTAAATTTACAACACTTTGAAAATCCTTAATTTTGGGTAAAAAACTTCGAAACTTTCATATGAATTATAAAAATTCATAAGCGCGCCAAAAACATTCGGGCGGACCGAAAACCGGCGGTCCGGTCCGGTCCAGAAATATTTGATCCGAAACCGAACCGAAGACCGGACCGAAACTTTCGGTCCGGATTGCCATATGGCCCAATCCGGGACCGAACCGTCGGATTTCGGTCCGGTCCGGGCCAATCCGAAGCCCATTGAGAACACTAATCAGGGCACTGAAATTTTTCGTGTAATTTGAGGTAAATTTTTATGAACTAAATGTATGTAACGTTGTTTGGTTCAAGCCTTTCACAGTCAAATTAAACCATGAATTTAAGTATGCTTCATTAATGTTGGATGGACTACATTTTGACCACGAGAACGCTTCCATTGAGAAATATGTATTTCCAGTTTCTGGGTATTTATTCGCTAAAATGCGTGCCTCCCAACACAAAATTTAAGCAGAACCGATTAAATTTTATGAAACATTCGAGCCCATGGTACATAGCATACTGCATTGATATCGCTCCTATAAATACCTGGTCACTCTCATTCATTTGTCGTATTGTAATAATATGTATATCAAATTTACGGCATCGCGCTTATGGGAAAGATTGCGAAATCAAGTTTAAAAGAAATTATAGCTCCAATAAAAAAATCGTGCAAGTCGTCAAAATTCTCAGGAAGGATTCGTTACGCTATTCATCCAAAAATTTAAGCACCAAGGGACAAAAATTTGTTGGTTCGCGGTAGTTGGTTTTACGTGTCTCAGGTCAGACAATAGTAACCTTTGACATTGTTAAAATGCTTTTCGAAATTCGACCAGCACCTTCTCCAAAAATGTTTTTGGCTATCACTGTACAAGATTCTAAATTTTTATCTCAACCAGTGTATAAAATATAACAATGTGAATACCGTATGCAAACTAATTTTATGTAGTGCACATATAATTACCGCCATTAGTCACTCTGTTTATTTTAATAATATATCATAGTACATTATATCTAAGGTTTAATTAATTTATATTTTAAAGCAATATTTTAAAGCAATACATACAAACCGCAAATTTTAGCCGGTTTGGGTCGCCGGCCAAGCAAGCCGACTGGGCATGGGCGACACGCCAAGTAAACGCTACAAAGCCTAGGAACACAATGGCCACAACCTGGGATAATTTTCTGTAATATGTAGTAGGATTTCAATAAATCCATGGACTATGACGCTTTAGAAGATGAAAACGGTACAAAAATATTAAAATAAAGTTTGTCTTACATTGTGAGCCTTTGGATTTGAAGGAAATTAATATTCAGTTAATATTAATCCAAATAGTTCCAGGAATTTGTGTGTAACCTATTTTATTCATTTGGAGACGACTCCAAGAAGGACGTGGCAAGACTAAGATTTGCTCAGAACAGCGACGATATTTTATTGTGACATTATGTCGCAACCATTGCACGAGTATTGTTCATGTCCAAATTGTTCGCATATGCAAATACGTGCATATGTACATATGTACATACACATTTTACTGGGGTGGTCGGCAGAGTGAAGAAATTGTGCAATTTAGCTACATACAGAAATTCTACTTGTTTCAAGTAAAGCACGTACCACATATTTTGTCCAACACACTTACATATTTATTACAATACAAATAGTTTAAGATAGCATGTCTTGACCTCCAGGTCACTGCATGATGACAGTGCGAAAATATGTCATTCATTTGCAAAAATTATTCATTCCATTTGCTGCACTATGTACATATTAATAGATACAAACCCTCCATGCAATTTTAAAGATTTTAAAGAATTTTAATCCATCTTCAAACGCTCGGCGAAGACCTGCGATAAAGCCGTTTGATGAGATAAGAGAAGAAATTAAAGTTAATGTTTGCGACCTATGTTCATAGTAAATTGAATTTCCTATATTTTAAAACTCTGTTGTCATGAATGTACCATAACCAATTTAACGACACCTTCGCGTCCACCATTGGTCGCTCATTATGCCCATCATCGAAATAATCCTTACTTCTGATTTAAAGACATTTTGTCCAAGTCCAGCGGTTAAGTTTAGAGATAAGTAATTCTCTAGGTAACACACAGACAGAGGGCAAGGCAAACTCGATCGGATCATCATATTATACGTAAAAGGCGTAAAAATGTATGTATATATGTATGCATATGTACGTCTATATCCATACATATGTACATATGTATTCATCTGTCTAAAAAAATATGCTCATTAGTGTCATCGTCTAATAGGATACAAAGTTCGTCGCAAAGCAGGACCTTATCTCACATCTGGCATGATCTGAGGACAAAGTACGGCAACGTGAGTGTTGGCGTATGGATGCCAAGTAGAAGCCTCGTTTTATAAATAAGTTGGATTACTCACCTCTACGTATTTACTTGGGTAGGGGTCGACTTTATCTATTAATTTTCTTCCTGATACATACATACGTGCATATTTACATACATAAATACATGTAAATCAATGCTCTATATATTACTACCTTGTGATGATGATTGTCCGTACACCATCATCACAAAGGTGAGAAATTCAACCTAAATGGTATTAGTTTTTATGAAAATTATACTACCGAGGTGTCTGTCAAGGCCCCCAACGTTCCCCCTATATTAAAATATGCACAGTATCTGACTTATTACGTAAAATTAAGGAATTTCCAATTTTTTTAATTTTTTTTCAAAATTTTCAAAAATGTTACAGAATTTTTAAAATCGGTCTCAGTTTTCTAAAATTAAAAAAAAATGATATGGGGAACGTCCATTTTAGGCTAAGCTCGTGATCCTAATGATAAGCCAGGCTACAGCGGTAAGTCGACCACTTCCCAGTGGGAAGTTCCCACTCGACCCGATTCTCCTCAAAATCAGCTCATCGCCACAAACATCGTCATACCTTGGCGAAAACTGAATTTAACAGGGAAATTCTTGAACAAATGAACAAAACGTTAATATTGTACGAAGTTAAATTTTAATTAATAGTTGACCCAAACCTTTTCATCTATTGCACTAAAACCTTTTATCAGTTAACTCATCATAAGAAAATAAAAGTAAAAATAAAACTAAAAACTAAAATAATATATAAAAAATATATATGTATGTATATATACAGAAAGTTCCGCCAGATGAATTCGATGTCCACATAAAATACGAAATTTACCAACAATGGCTGAATCTGTTTTCTCGAAATTTTTGGGTAACATACATCACATAGTATCCAATGTGTCCACCACCAGCTTCTTTCATTTCTCTGATTCGATTCGGGAAAGAGCGACTCAATTTTTGGAGCAAGCTGACGTCCACGGACCCCCAAATTTTTTTAACTCTTACGATTAATTGCTCTCGTGTAGTTGGTACCGACTTCTCATAAATGGCATTATTTAATACTGCCCACAGGTTTTCTATTGGGTTCAAATCCGGGCTATTTCACGGCCACACCCCTTTTCCCCAGACGGTTTTAACGTTGTCCTCCGGGATCCTCATATTTGCCATGGAATGGTGGATTGGAGCTCCGTCGTGCATGAATACAATTTTGTTCTTTGCTGGAAACAGCGAAGGGTCCTTCATGGCGTCCAAATACATGGACAATATCTTTTCACGATAGTATTTGGCGTTGACTGTAACCTTGTTCTCCACGGCATGAATCTGTGTAACGCCACGTGCATAGAAGCCACTAGCAAACATCACTTTGACCGGAAATTTTGGTGTTAAGACTTTAGGAACCTTTTCCCGATTATCGGAGTAGAATCTTGTGGTTGCTGGGTTTCGCTTGTGGTGAAGTTCGATCATAGTTTCATCCGTCCAGAGGGTGTGGTCAATCAATTCCTTGTCTATCCTTCCGTCCCCCAAAAATCCACTTTCTTCAACGATATTGGCAAATTTCAAGCGGTCCCGTATGTTCTTTTGTGATAGTAGAGTGGCCTTGGCTGTTCTGTAGTTTTTCCTGCCCCATTTGGTGGTTTTCAACGGTCTCTCTTGATATTTTATTGTCTTGAATTTTATAACTTTCACTCGAGTTCAGTATACGTGCAGTTTTTCGTGTTGAAGCTACAAGTCTCTCCTTCATTCTGTGTCTACAGTTACTTGCTTAGTCTTCGGGGAACATTTTGATGGTCGGCGCGACCTTCTTTTGTCCATGGATAGCTTTCTTTGGGACCATCTCCAAACCGTTTTTGGGTCAACTTTTAAAATCCTCGATATTTGTCCAGCACCGTAGCCTCTTCCCAGATAAGCTTGTATCTCAATTCTTTTCCTCACTCGATCACCCCTTCGGCTTTCATGTCACAATTTTTTTTAAATTCGGTTGATAAATAAAGAAGTTGTGCGCAGTTGACTGAATCACTCTGGCCGCTCAGTCTCATCGGGCGGAACTTCACTTCTGTCACACTGTATATATAAATTTTATTCTCCCTGTTAAATTAATACTAAATTATAGAACGGCTGCCTATTTCATTACCAATACTCTTTTTATTTAAAATTTATTTAAAATTGATGTTTAATTACGTTAATATCTATGTTATAATAACCAATCCGGACTCCTATTAATAGTAGTTCATTTATTTATTTAAATTATTTAAAAAACAAATTCTGTTTTTCTCCATGGGCCATGGGCCCCAACGAGATGAAATTGAAATATGTACATACATATGCCAAATCTTGAGTACTTAGAGAAATGTTATATCATAGCGTTAGAAAGTGTCAACTGAAAATGGTGGCACATAAAAATGTTAGATAATCCTAGATGCACATATGGTGCGATCAGAAAGGATAAGGCCACCTACGTTTTGTGACATAACTTTTTTTCTTATGTTGAATCAACTCCAAATCTTCCTGTTATCTACACCATCGTCTTATGTAGCACAATTTGAGATAAGTTGGACTAGATTGGTACTTCATGCAAATAACTTATAGTGCAAGGAATGAAAAGTAGAAAATTCAGAGTGGCAATATAATCATCTATGGTGTATGTAATAAGGAGGCAAGATATGGTTTTTCGCACACAAAATTCTTCTACATACGCACTACAATTAGTGTTAAACTTTCACAAAAACTAAACAAGGCGAAATATTTGCGACGCGATACATACATAGTTTGACTAATCGTAAGCCTACATATCTCATCCATTTCAAATGATTATGCATCAAGCAAAACCAATGAAAGTGCCGTGAGTGTCACTGCTCCTGGAAATACATATTTTAACACACATTTGGATGCCTGCTAAATATGTTATAAATACATTGCCGAAATCTGCACTTAATAAACCAATCAGTTAGAAAAAATGGTATAATATTCACTTACTTCTTAAAAGTATGTATATATGCATGTCTCAAAAACCTACCGTCGCGCATATAAATAAATACTTAACTCCCTTCAGTCACTTGACAGGTTTAGTCACGTATGTAACAACTAAATATGTCCATACATATGTACATATGTATGTACATATGTGTCTATCGCATACATGGAGACCTGTCCAATGTGATCTTACTTTTATTAAATAACTACATATGTATGTAACCTGACGGGCCAATTTGTGCTTTGTTGAAAATGATTACATAAATATGTACGTCAATCGGAACGAGTACAAATCAGTAAGTACATACCTAGATATGTACATACATACATACTCACATACGAGGGAATATTTTTAAGTAATGTCCATCTATACCTTAGAGATAAGATAAGAATCTGGAATGCGTTCATTATAATCCGCGTACCGAGTGTACATTCCGCACCAAAAATGATACGATTCCAATGTCACATTCTCTCTCAATTTCACCCCAAAGTCACAATTCCAAAAATGGAATTTACGAAAATTGAGATCCGTTCCACCATACGATTTTTTCACTTCCAGGAGAAACTGCAGTAGAAATTCATAAAAAGTTACAGAAAGTTTATGGCGAATCTACTCCATCTGATAAAACTGTTTCCAGGTGGGTAACAGAATTTAAGTGTGTTAGGGAGAGTGTGGAAGATGAGCCTCGACCAGGTAGGCAAATTTCAGTGAGCGACGCGTTCACGTGCAAAAAAGTCGATGACTTTCTGCAAGTAGATCGAAGTATTACCATCCATCAGCTTCCTCAGGAAATGGGAATTTCATATAAAGTTATTGGTGTCATCCTACACAAACGACTGGGTTAGTCAAAGCTATCTGCCGGATTGGATGCTCGACTGCTTAGGCGAGCTAAAAAACTAAAACTCGTTGATTAATGTCTTGCCCTTTCGGAATTTTGGAATGCAGACCCCCAAAATTTGCACACCCAGCTAGTGACCGGAGGTGACCCGTAGGTTCATCACCATGATCCTGAAACATCAAGTTAAATCCCGGATTGTCTGCATCAAAAATTCTAAAGGATGTTCAAAACACTATGGGCAAACAGGCAAGTCGATTTACGATTGCCAGAGTCTTAAAAATCATGGCTACAAAAATTTTGCGGCTAAGAGAATGCCCTTCGTTACCCCGAAAAATCAGAAGAAGCGACTCGAATTTGTCAGGGATCATATTGCCACGGATGCTAAATTTTGGGATTCAATTTTATGGTCCGACGAAAGCAAGTTCAACATTTTTGGTTCAGACGGACGAACTAGAGTGTTCAGAACCACAGGGGAAGCCTTGGAATTAAAAAAATTACTACCAACTGTAAAATGGTGGTGGCAGCATCATGGTGTTGGGTTGCTTTAGCTCTTCTGGTGCTGGAAATTTCGAATTTGTGGATGAAATCATGAACCAATATAGCTACCAGGACATAATGGCTAGAAATGTGAAACAGTCTGCGCTGAAACTTGGCCTGAAGCGCCGTTACATTTTCCAAAAGGGCAAGGATTCAAAACACACTGCAAAATCAACACATTTTTTCAAGAAAAGTGGAATCAGGGTTTTGGAACGGCCCCCACAGACGCCGGATCTCAATCCCATTGAGCATTAGTGGGATCACATCAAGAGAGAATTTCGAAAATTCAAGATTTACAACATTACTGAGTTGAAAGGAAAAATTACGGACGCATGGAATAATATTCGTCAAGATGTGGGTGGAAAATTGGTTGCATCAATAAAAAGTCGTTGTAATGCATGGATTGCAAATAAGGGAGGCCCAAGTGACTACTAAAATATGACTAAATATTGTATCATTATTATTGTCTAAATTATTCAACACTTTTGACTACCGTATAATTTATTTCGCACATCCTGAAATTCACTTTTTTTTAAAATGTTTATTTACCGCCAAAAGCGTGAGACTTTTCGAAAATGACATGCATACCTACTACACCTAGATGAGTTATGGTTATTGTGCAAAAGAAATTTTGATGATAACTCTTAAACATGTGGAGTTATTCATGTCTGAATCTTGGGAAGTACCCCGTATAATTTAATTCGCTCTCCAGTGTATGTACACCAACGTATACGAAATTGCTATGTACATATCTACCTTTCATTTATTAAATTTATTCACTTCTCGGCACTCCGGGGGGTGAAAATTACACTAAAAGCTGTTTATGTAGTATGTCGCAACGTGTAATAAATAGTTTTGACTTGATTATGTATAGCACATATGTATGTACTGTGATGAGATAGAATTATTATTATTTAGTGTAAAAGTTGTTGTGGGGCGAGTTGAGTCGTCATGAGAACGACCCTCGGCACGGTTTATAAAGCCTTGTGCACGAGGAAAAAATCAGACTTGTCGTCAGTGTTTTGTGGAGGACGGCCGGGAGAGGACCGAGAAGAAGATTTCTCGTCAGTACTACTTGGGAGGCGGCGGGGAGAAGACCGAAAAATCAGACTTCTCGTCAGTGCTTCGTGGACGACGGCCAGGAGAAGACCGAGAAGGAAGACCTCTCGTCAGTTCTTGGTGGAGGACGGCAGGGAGAGGATCTCGAGGGACGACCTCGCCGCTGGATCGTGAGGGATAATTTCGCCGCTGGATCCTGCCTGCGAGCCTGAGATCCTGCGAGCAGAAATCGTCAACCGTAAGGGGTGGGGCATCGTGAGAGGTCGTCCTTTCACGAGTAATGTACTGGGGTGGTCGTCCCCCAGTATCTAAAGGTTTTCTTTTAATTACCACTGCGGTGGTGTGTGTTTCTTATGGGGAGAATGTGTCAAAGGGGTTAAAGTTAGTTGTCTGAGTAGTAATAAATGGTCAAGTGTTGTCAAAAGTCAAGTCTGTGATGAGTTGTAGTTTTATTCGTATGTGTACATAATTAGCAGTAGAAACGGACTCCGGTGAGCGTCGGAGACGCAAAAATTGTGATTCGTCACAGTACATATATATGTATGCACTTTAAGAAAGGTGGTAATGAATCATTGCGGATTATTACCGGATGGAGTATCTACATGCATTATTCACGTAACATAACTCTACCGGCGAGGTAATAATGCACATTACCGCATATTTATATGTACGACGGTAATTTGTACGACGGTAATATGTACGACGGCACCTTTAACAGTCTGTAACGTTTCATAACAAACTCTGGTGGGGTTCGTTAGCAAAGCATTAATATGACGGAGTAACGCCTTATGTGACTCGGATTGCCTAACAATTATATAACAGATTTTTTACAGTGTATGTAAAAATATCTGACCGACCCAAGTTACCTTTCACATATGTATACGTACATAAATACGCTTACCCAGTTCCAATGAATTATGTACATACGTAGATCACTCATCCTTAATCACTAAATTTTGCATCAGTCAAACTGATAGGGATTACCATCCGGACGGTGAGGAGCTTAAATACGTTTCGCATCTCGGATCATCTCATTTAACGCGTATATGTGTAGGCTTCCATACGTCGTTGTCACCGATTTAGATAATTTTCGCCCTTCTACATACATAGATACATACATAAGGAATGGCGTGGTTGCAAAAATTCGCCTTAATTGCCTTGTCTCTAATTTCTATTCCACCGTTAAACGCGTCAACCTTGGTAAGGAAAAAAGTAAAAATTTAGACACATTTCGTCCTTGACGTATTGAATCCTATCCTGCAGGAGGACTTGATTCGAAACGGGACACGGTTGGAATGGACATATCTCCGCGACGGGGTCCGATACTACATGACCCCGGACCTCACGGCGGATAAAATCGACTCTACCCGACAACGGTTTATCGTCTCTTACTCGATCTATCCACCATTTCCTACGACTCCTCCACCCACAACGACCAATCCTTCCATGTCAACCAGTCCGACAACGTCGACCACACCCACGATCCCAACCACTCCAGATGAGAACCATATTCCAAACGGATCCTTCTCGCTTCGTATCGGTAAACGTGGGAACCCTTTCGAAAAGTTCCCGTCCCGCCGAGTACCTCTTCCTTATCCCCCTGGAAGGTTCGGACAATGAGTTTCACCTGTACTTTAATAACCAGTCCTTCGTTACCCCGAGAACCCGGCGGCCATTTGATTTCTTCCTCGGTTCATATTTCCCGGCCGAGACGGCTGCTATCTTCTCTCTGCAACCGTACCAGTTCCACTTGAATTCATCGTATCGGGGTAACTTGATAATACTTATTTGAATAAATTTGTACTTCCCGCGTAACCAGATACGAATCATTTTAAGGTGAACGATCCCACATTTTACCCACTCTGGAGGAAATCGCCACCCTGGAAACAGAGTCCAACCGTGTCTCCGCCTACACCCAGTTGATCACTCGTATGCATGCCCTCGACCATGTCAAGGGGAGAGATATTTTCAACGTGGCGGCCCACATGGCGGCCACCTTACCCGCGAATCATGCCGTATTTTACGCCCTTCCTGACCCCGCCAGATTCATTTTCACGAGAAATGTAGCCCTCACTTTTGAACATCCCGATGGAGCTTTGTACCCCATGAAATATTTTTGGGGGTCTGACTTGCACCAGGGGTTCGAACCCTATTCCATCCTGCCCACCAGTATTTCGCCAAACTGGCCGCTGACAAATATATCGGTGGCAATAATTTATGGCAATAGGAGCCTTCAGCAGCATCGGATCTTTGTCAATCCGACCAACAGGCAGGTAACACAGGAAATTTTGGGGCAAAATTTACCCAAAGATTTTACCCTCCATTTGGGCGATGATTTATTCACGGTGACAATTTCTTGGAACGACGGGATGGGCTGGATTGGCACGCAAGATGTAGAACCAGACTTTTACTTTGACGCAAACAAGCCAATCGGGGAGGCGGCCAGGTTTAAAATTGTGGAGTTTTGAGTGGAAAATGTAAAATTGTCCGAATAAAACATTAATATTATCGCAAAACAATTCCTTTAATTCAATAAATCTGTATTTCATTTATGCATAAGCAATTATTGTAATGTCGTTAAATTGCATTGAGCTTTTAAAATCAGCACCCTCGTTAATACCACGTGGCTTAACCTCATTGAGACCAAATTCACCATATCGTCGCTGTTCGTGCAAAACTTGTCGGATCAAAAACCAATCGGAAACAAAAGTTGTTCCCTTCCAAACCAGTCGGAAACAGAAATTGTCGCCTTCCAAACCAGTTGGAAACAGAAGTTGTCGGATGAAAATGCGGGAAAAGCGTGACACCATGTTATAGTTCTGCAATCTCGTATTTCCCCAAAATTGATCCGACAACTTTTGTTTCCGACTGGCTTTTGATCCGACAAGTTTTGCACGAACAGCGACGATATGATGTATTTTTCTTGCTATTACTTGACGACCAAATTCGTCATATCATGTACATGTATTATTATTAAATTTTAGAATTTGCTATTGACTACCAAAACCATGAATGAAAATGGAAAAAGTTGAAAAACTCGATGGAAAAAAGTGGAAAATTCCATAAGAAAAAGTGGTGTTCTGTGACTATTTCCACCCACAATTTTGAACTTTTTTCTATATCAGCGCAATGTTAAAAATTGGAATTTTTGAGTTTTTTGAATTTTCGGAATATATGTAGAAAAACTCAAAATTATTAGGGAACGGCTTTTCATCATATTTGATGTCGGTATCCATGAGGTTAATTTCAAAATCCAGATTACTACCATATCACGCAATTTGGTTGCGTGAATGGATCATCTTTCGTCTCGGCGGAATTCAAGATTCACAGTCTTGAACCCCGCCCCGATATAAGGTAAATATATTAAATATGTATATAATCAACTTGGTAACAAAGAATGGAAATTGGAAAATCATCCAAAGTTCTAAAACAACATAAATTTCATGAGGTTTAAGATAATGCAAGTTCCGTTAATACAATGTATGTACATACATAAAATTAATTCTTGCAAGTGGAACCCTTTGTGTTTGCAAACGGAATTGATCATCTACTGTTTACTTTTTCAGAATAAATTTCCACCGAAATAAAATATGTAACTGGTTTTAGCAAAAAGTTATACAGACCCGAAACCTATTTATTTATTTGTTCACTGCAGCAAATACAATGCAGTAACACCTCATTGTGTGAAAAATTAGCATCATATAACAAATATTGATATCATTTCCTCAGAAAATATCACCAATCATGGTGATAATCACACATACGTATGTATGCATGTATAAGCAACATATGCCTTCGCCCCACAAGGCAAAAATCGTCCCAAGATTTTAGCAATGCACATTTGTACATGTACATATTTATGACAGATTACCTACGCAGTTCAATGTGCATAGATAAATATGTTCATAAACACATATGTAATACTTTTTATAAAAAGCAACCCAACCGTTGTAGTCATGCCATTGGTGGATGCATGGCGTGTACTTTGTCCTAAGATCAGGCAAGACAGGAGATTAAATAAGCATGCATGAATTGGCGACATTATTTTTATTTACATAGTTTAGTATCCCGACAGCCCAACCCGTTAAGCACGAAAATTACGTTGACGGTTATCCTCCAATCCAATTTTATTGATTCTGGTACTGCATATGTACATATGTACATACATACATACATACATACATATGTACATATCTACATATGCATGTATGTGCATATCAGGCCTGCCCAAAATACTATTTGAAAATACAAAATACAAATTACAAAATACAAAATACTATTTTGTATTTGGAACTTCCATTTCAGATGAAAGTATTTTGTATTTTGTATTTTAGAATTAGCCAGGTATTTTGTATTTTCAAATTTTCAATGACCACCAATGTATTTAAAATACAAAATATGTACATTTCCAAAATACAAATTACCAAATGAGAAGTATGTATGTAATTTATGTGTAGCATTTCACCCAAAATATCGACGAATCAGAAATTATTTTATTTTTCATGTCGTATCGTGGTATGCAGAAATTGTCTGGTTATGCCATTTTAACTGATCAGTCGGTAAATTTCATTTTTATTGTAAATAATCTTTGTGATGCATAATCACAAATATTATTTTTACCTTTGATTAGCTACCGTAATATAAATAATTCGATTGGTACATTTCAAAAGGCATTTTTGCATATATTTTTTTGTTTGTGTAAATTGCTTTGAATTTTAACCTGATCTGATGCCAGACGGTTAGAACTGTAAATAACCATAGATATAAGCGGAAAGTAGTTTGAGGAGGTTGAAGAAGACGGAGACAACAAAAGTGCCCTGTGAAAAAATTTTTCTGGGTCGAAACAAATGCGTGGGGCGAGAAAAATTTGTATTGTATTTTGTATTTTAAAAAGTATTTTAAATACGTATTTTGTATTTTGTATTTTGAAACATGAGCCTCAAATGAAAGTATTTTGTATTTTGTATTTTGGAGCAACTCGAGTATTTTGTATTTTGTGTTTTGTATTTTGACGCTTTACAAAATGAATTTTGTATTTTAAAACAAAGTATTTTGGGCAGCCCTGGTTCATATGTACATAAGTACAAATGTAAAGATTTGCACATTTTTACAGCCTCGTGATGTGAAGGTTAAGAAAAATTGAGTTCAAACTTTTCCATGATTAAGCAAACTAAATAAATGTGCATATTTGACACGAGCAGGTATATATGTACGTATGTACATAAATATGTACATATTCGTACACATGTACATACATACGTACATATGTATGTGCTAAATCTGTTGCAGCTTGTGAGGACTACATAAAGACACGTATTTAAGTCTGGTGTTCAGTCTTGCCTACTAATACATATGTACATATGTGACCTTATCTTCTACATAAACAGTTATGCCCATGTATATGTATGTGCACTCATGTGCAAAAATGAGTGCCATTGGGTATCAAAAAAATATTAATTTATGTACATAACTTGAAGAAATATCAATATTTTTTCATGCATCTTATTTGTGCGTTACTATAGTAACGCACATTTCCAACATAACCAGCATTCTACAAGTTTTCCCTCGTTTGAGGGAAGTACGAATATAAATTTAACTTTAAACGATGTGCAAAAATGATGATCATTTGGACAATTAAATTTATTTTTAATACTGTAAATTGACGAGATTACAAACCGTGCAACTCAAATATCAGGTAGGATCACCCTGCGCCGAATTAGGAGATTATGTAACAAGAAGGGCCTTGCACACAATCAGCAAGTTTCTTACGGTAAGAATTTTACCCGATTCTGGGTTGGCATACATACATTTTTCTGAAATTTGTTTCAGGTTATTATTTCATAGAAATACTACATACTTCCCCGAATTTTCCTTCTACTGTGTTCCAATCAGTGTCCAATTTTAATAAGGTCCGCCCTCTGTGGTGGCCATTCAAATCTTTAATTCTTTTCTTCTTGATGAGTTCCCAAGTTGATTTTGGCGTATGTTTGGAATCGAAGTGTACAAATAGCCACGTCGTAGATCTACCTTCCTCACCGAATTCCTTCAAATTTCTTGCCAGTATTTCTTAGTAATTGTGTTGGTTCATGATTGCGTCTTCAAACTCATAAATCATAATTCCGCAACCTCAACGCAACTGCTTGCAACTCCGTTTTTAGCTGTAAGATTTAAATTTTTGGTTCGTATGTAGAGCTTCACCGTCTTATTTTCAGACTGTATTGCTTCTGTCTGCGTCAAATAAATTATACATACTTCAAACACAACAAAAGATGGAATCCTTCTAGTTTTTGTGGACTTGACCCATGCGCTTCATCTTATTCTGGTACATATGTATGTAGGGTATCCGTTGGTTGTTCACGGCAGGGGAGCCCCACATTCCGCAACTTACTTAGAGATGGGAAATCTGCTTGACTTCCTTCCAAATTGCTCTCCCGCCTCTGTTGTCCATTTTGAGCTGGTTAGATTTGCAGTTATCTTCGTCCTTCTGATGGTGGATTGGGCCATCATATTAGAAAAAATGGTTTGCCACCTGCCAAATATTTATTTGAAATTGATCCAGGTCGACTTGTGTCTGGAAGGTATCCTTAGTATCGTTGGGCGAGAAATTTTTACAATTTCAGAGGTTTTCTTGTGGGTTTTTTGGTCCTTATTGACCCTAGTCACACTGATTTAAAATATGATCGCCTTCACTGGGGTTCTCATGTCTCAGGTACACATAAATTATAAAACTACCTAAACAATTAAATAGGTTGTTTTACCTGGGATAATTGTCAAAATATTTTAATGTATGTAAAATAATTGAATTTAAGTCGGTAAACTATTTGCTCTGTTCTACTTCAGCATTAGTTTATCTCTAAATAAACAAATAAACAAGTCAATCCTTTCTTTGTTTATGAAATGAGCGCGTATACGATTTTTGGATGCGCAGTGATACTCATTTTTGCACGTTAGTGTAAGTATACATATCTGGAATTGTTGTGTAATAATTTTTCGATAACTGCGTAGTTAACTGATGGATACATATGTACATATGTATTTATGTATCGATACATTTATCTGTTTTGTTTTATTCAGAATTACGTTACGTTTGAGATACTCGCAGAGTTTGAAAATTATGTATACACAAAGAATCACATTATGAAAATGCTGACGGCACAGGAGTCGCACAAATATGGTCCTACCTAAGAAAATTTCTAAGTAGCAAAAAAAAGTCGCAGAAAAAGTAAAAAAGATCGATATGTATATGTATCGATACATACTTATACGAGTACATATGTATCTATGTATGTATCGCCAAATGCATGCAATTCTTCACTAAATTTAGCAAATTGTCATCGCATATATAAAACCTCCCGTTAAGACATCACCCTCAGTCTTGCCAAGTCGTTCATTCCAAGAAGGAAAAATATATATTTGCAAAATCCTGTGATCGAGGAAACTTCAAAGCCTTTCAGAACGTTTCAAAATGTAAGAGACACATGTCTTACATATTTTTAATTTAGCATTTCTTCATATATTCTTCATATCCTGGTTGAACCTCTCCAGAATTCCAGACTTTTAACCCGGTTAAATTTTACGTAAATATGTATTGGAATGTTAATTGTATTTATTTGTGACAGGAAATTGTTCCATCTGTTGGTGGCCGGCTTGATATTATTAGCGTTCAGTTGGTCCGTGTGTCAGGCTCAGTCTACCTGTACCCAGGTAAGTCGATAATTTCGATTTTTTTCGCAAATTAACAACCACTTATGTAGATATTTCGTATCTAGTTTTAAACTAGTAGTTTAAAATTAACCCGCAGTTCGTTATGAGAGATTTAACATGGACAGACGCGAAAATAAATAACATAAATATGAACAATAGGTTCGACCAATTGTCACCCACACCGGTTTTAAATATTTAAACAAACGCCCATACTCCTTGGCGATGATGACATTTTCGAATTACGTAAAATACTTGGAGAAAAAATACAGTCAAATACTGTAAGCGTCATGAAAATTAGATAATTTCGGGCAACGTGAGATTCATGAAAATTTCTCGGTGCATAATTTCGGTGATAAATTTTTCATGAATCTCACGTTGCCCCGTGGTGCCTAATTTTAAGAACGTTCATAACGTCAGCTACCTAGTCCACGGTGAGAGCACGGAAGAGTCCGGCTAAACGGGGCAGTACTGCCGGCGAGCAATCTCCCTCCGTCCCAAAAAAGTAACGACGTATACGTCATTACTTTTTAATTTAATTATTTACTTACTTAATTTTTTTACAAAATTAAATTAAAATTAAATTAAAAATTAAATTTAAATTAAATTAAAAATTACATTAACAAGCGTGTGCACAATCCATTCTGCCTCTAGAGGCAAAATGGAGTGTGCACGCGCTCTGAGCCCTTTGACTGGTTTTACACGGATAAATGTCAAATTTTATATTACATCCAAAAAATCTGAAATTTGGCATGTCCATGCATGAACATGTCCTTCATCATAATACATCGTCAATTCCCGTTTGTTTCGATCGCTATAAACTTTACAGGAAAAATCAAAAGCAAAATTTCTTAACTTAAGCTCTCATGGCAAATGTGTCATTTTCAAAAAATCATAACTAAAACTGGGAAGAAAAATCCTAATTACGTTTTAATATGTGTGTTTCACAAGAGTAGGGGGAGGGTTTAAAACAGTAAACAGACGCCTCCCCCCAAACACCACATGGGGATGTGGTCCGAAATTTGGTGAACTTTTCTCCGTCTTTCGATGCATTTTAAACCGCAGAGTGCGTCTTATTAGCCGTGTGCCGCAATTTGACCACCCCCACTGCCCTCAGGGGGAGGGGACGTCAAATTTGCGGTTGAAGATGCATTTTGTGGTAGAAAATGTGTGGAAAGACGGGAAAAAGTTCACCAACTTTTGGACCACACCCCCATGTGGTGTTTGGGGGCAGGGGTTTGTTTTATGGTTTTAAAAAATCCTCAAGGTCTTGTGGAACACATACAGGTATATCAAAACGGAATTAGGATAGTACTTCCCCCTCATTACTTATGATTTTTTGAAAATGACGCCTTTGCCATAAGAGCGTAAGTTAAGAAATTTGGTTTTTGATTTTTCCTGAAAAATTTATAGCAATCGAAACGGGAATTGATCATGTATTATGATGAAGGACATGTTCATGCATGTGCATGCCAAATTTCAGGTTGTTTGGATGAAATTTAAAATTTGACATTTACCCGTGTAAAACGAGTCAGATGGCTCAGAGCGCGTGCACACTCGATTCTGCCTCTACGTCGTTACTTTTTGGGATTGAGGAAGATTGCTCGTCGGCAGTACGCTGACCAAATTATTTCCCTTATGTATGTATGTAGATGACTCGTCCCATCGGAACCCTTATTCCCGAGGTAGCCTAAATTTCATGTCATTCAAGATTTTACTATTGGTGCATCATACAAAGTAAAGCATAAAATTAGAAAATTGAAATATCTCAAAAAGTTGGAGCCATTTCTAAAACTTGGAAATATGGTTAAAACGCTAATCACTAGAAAACTATGCCTCACACGGGAAGATTTGTATTTAACAAATGTGTACATTTGACCATTTTAGATAGATAAAATTAACAAATTTCAAAAATTTCAAAAAGTCGTAATCTACTAACGCGTTTTCAAACTTAATTATCTCGCAGATCCACAAAAATCGGAAAATCTCGCTCAAGTTTTATGGTGTATTAGGTCATGTAGCCTCGTCGGACTTATGTGTATCACTAATCCCAATTTCCAATGCCCCAAAGCCCATGAGTGAACCATAACCCCCAATTAGGTTGACTTCATGGCGTCATATGCACCCGCCGCACCCACTAAACGGGGCGAAGAACACAAAAAAAACTTTTTTCATTCTGTTAACTCTCAAATTTAAAAAGAATCCAAGCTTCATCCTTTTAAAAAAATTCTCGCACTCACATGGTTGGTTCGTCATATTCAATGACAATTTTTATTTTATTTTTTTTTTATATTTTTGAAAATTTCCTCACCAGGGATACATACGTCCTCAAAAATATTAAAATTTCAAACAAGTTCAGTTTGAAATTGGGTGTAATGACCGACTATCTGAGATTACAAGAGCGCAAGGATTTTAAAAATCGGATAAAAATTGTATTTTTGGTTAGGATTTAACCGAATTACAAGAGGGCTTTTTATTATTATTTTTTCGCCCCGTGAGTGGGTGTAGCTGGCACGAATTAATATAGTCTTTGGGTCAAACAAATTGTTCTTTTTTTCAACCATACGACACTACAAAATATCCAAAGAGCACGGAAATCTGAGAGGTGAGACTACGCCTGTTAAATACATAAGTTCCCGTCCTTCCTGAAAATGCGCAAGATAAAAGCGCGAGTCTAAAAAAATTAGTCAGTACATTCATAAAACGGTGGTCAATTTAATAAATTGTGAAATAATTTAGTTAACTCGAACAAGCCTATTTGCATACTTTTTAATGATAATTGTCTAATTGAAATTATAGTGCATTGATGGCAGCTGTGGAGCCACTAACCTTCTGGGGTGTCTTTCGGGCGGGCCACTTTGCAATCGGACAACGAATTGCTGTCAGTGTGTAGAAAATAAGGTGATCTCCAATGTACCATGAATGCATTATTTCCTCGAAAGTGGAACACATTTTTTTCGAAATGCATAATCAACAGTGTCAATACTCGACTGATTGTAAATGGAAGGCATGTTCGGTTGGAGAAACGGCTAGTTGCATCCTCAAAAGGGTGGGCAGCGAGTGCGTCTGTTTGAGTTATAACTATGTAAGTACACATGTTAGGTGCTGAATTACAGAAATACAATTTTTTTTAACTTATCCTTGGTACCGCAAAGTGTACCGCAAATGGGACACAATTCTGCCCTGCTGATAAATTTCCTCGGAACAGCGCCTCGACTTATGATAGAAATTGCCGTGTCGGTCCAGGCTTACTGGATCCCAATTATGCAGGTAAAACGTCAAGGTTGCGCAGGTGGGAGCAAGCAATTATGAATTGGCAAGGACGATGGTAAAACTATCCACCTGCCATGTACATACATACACATGTGCATACATGGTTGGTCAATACAGAGGGTGATTGGAGATTATAAGAAGCCTTCTTATTTTTGAAATTGTAATTGCAATTGAGGCTTTCGAACCTTGGTTCTGGGTTCGGGTTGTGGGTTCGGGTTCTGGGTTCGGGTGTAGAAAATTGGAACCCGAGGTTGACGGTTTCGGGTTCGGGTCCAAGCAAGTCGAGAACGATTCATCGGGTGTGGGTTCGGGTTCGACACCCGCGTACCCAATTCCAATCCGAGTCCGTCTGTCAACTATGTATTATTATCTACTGATTTTGATAAACTAGTCATGGAAATATTTACTGTATCTATCGTGCGTTTGACCAGTTTCGGGTTCAAAAAACGTCGAACCCGCACCCGAACCCGAAATCCCATAATTTCCGGGTTCGGGTGCGGGTTCGACATTTTTTAACCCGTGTCGAGCACTGATGTGAATTAGCTCGCCCGCTGAAAAGTCGTTGTTTCAAATTTCCAAACCCCAAAAAAATCGAGGCGACTGTTATCAGGTAACTTGAGAGGTATCCCTACTTATAAAAATAACTCCGAGATTCGCCTACAACTCCGCCGCATACCCTTCGATGAATCCATACCTGTTCAAAATTTTTTCTTTCATTCAAAATTCATTCATCCCCACCTCAGAGTGAGCGTTTTCACTCATTTTCATTCACTATCATTCATTTTCACTTTCACTCATTCTCATTGTCACTCATTTTCATTTTCACTCATTTTCACTCATTTTTATTTTCACTCATTTTCACTCATTTTTATTTTCACTCATTTTCACTCATTCTCATTTTCACTCATTTCACTCATTTTCATTTTCACTCATTTTCATTTTCACTCATCTACATTTTCACTTATTGTGCTTCAATTTCATTATCGTGCAATTTATTTTTATTCTAAGTTAATCTCATTGTGTCAATAAAGTCCAAGATTAAAAAACTAAAGTTAATGTGCTACGCAGCACATTAAATTTCGTTTCTTTTAATTTTTATGTATGCACTTACGTATATACATACATACATATGTACATATTTTGTTATGCTTTGTGCTTGTCATTTGAATTGTCTATGAACTTTGGGGGTGTGACCATCTCAAATTTTGATCTTGGGAACTTTGGGGGTGTGACCATCTCAAATTTTGATTTTGGGAACTTTGGGGGTGTAACCGTCTAAAATTTTGATTTTGGGAACTTTGGGGGTGTGACCATCTCAAATTTTGATTTTGAGAACTTTGGGGGTGTGACCATCTCAAATTTTGATCTTGGGAACTTTGGGGGTGTGACCGTCTAAAATTTTGATTTTGGGAACTTTGGGGGTGTAACCATCTCAAATTTGGCTTTTGGGAACTTTGGGGGTGTAACCATCTCAAATTTTGATTTTGGGAACTTTGGGGGTGTAACCATCTCAAATTTTGATTTCGGGAACTTTGGGGGTGTAACCATCTCAAATTTTGGTTTTGGGAACTTTGGGGGTGTAACCATCTCAAATTTTGATTTTGGGAACTTTGGGGGTGTAACCATCTCAAATTTGGCTTTTGGGAACTTTGGGGGTGTAACCATCTCAAATTTTGATTTCGGGAACTTTGGGGGTGTAACCATCTCAAATTTTGGTTTTGGGAACTTTGGGGGTGTAACCATCTCAAATTTTGATTTTGGGAACTTTGGGGGTGTAACCATCTCAAATTTCAATTTTGGGAATTGTAGGGGCTCAAATAGTGTTTTGTGTATTTTTCTATTTTTCCAGCAGCTATTAAAATACTTGTAGAAAAGCCATTACATGATAATATAATAGAAAAGCCAAATTATTAGTACATACATATACATATGAACCAACTCAGAAGTGAAGTGATGAGTAAGTGAAATAAAATGTAAAATATCTCACTCATTCAAGATCCAACCCACTCACTCATAAAGTCTGACTATGAGTGAGTGGGTTAGATCACTTCACTTCTTGTTCAGAAGTGAAGTGAGTGAGAGAAATGAAATGAGAAATCTCATGACATTTCTCATTTTATGAAATGAGAAATGAAATGACAAATTTCTCGCTGAGTCATTCATATTCATTCATGAGATGAAATTTGAGGATTATTTCATTCATTTTCATTCAAATGATAGTTAATTCATTTTCACTCACACTCATAATGCATATTATGAGTGAGAGTGAACAGGTATGGATGAATCTGGCAGTATGGGAAGACGCGGCATCGTGATTATCTGCACTTTCTAGAGCTCGCCCGGCTGGAAAGATGGAATTTTTGTTCCAAAATTATTTTTAAAGCATTGTCCACGTAGTCCTTCGAATTAATTTTCCTGTTTGTGCAGCCAGGAACCAAATTCACCACCCCCACCCAGTCATTTGGCGTTATGCATAAAAATAATCAAATGTCTTTACTTCATCTTTACGAGATAGAAAAAAAATTACCGAGGAAATTTTGAAGTAAAATCATTTGCTTATTTTTGTGCATAAGGCCCATTGCACCTACAGCCATCAGTTTGCCACTAAACTTTTCGTTTTTGTGACGCACATAATTGTTAAGCTGTTTGTGTGAAAATATGAGACATTTTACAAGGGTTCACATAATCTCCAATCACTCTGTATTATAGACCGACATAGCTTATGACAATCTCTCACAAGGGATGGTCCCCGACTGCTTATTGAGTTCAGGGTACCCACTATACTTTTTAGGATCTAAGGAGGCCCCAGATGAAGGATCCATTCACATTTCCGTTTGAAACTCACATTTGGCGCCGTGGCGTAGCGCCAAACATTTTAAATGACATTTTCGACCAATTTCGAACCTTCATAAATGTTTGAAGTTTCAGCGCGATTTTCAAAATTTTTGGATTTAAATGATCACCAAAATCGAGATTTCAAGAAATAATTAAAAAACGAATTTTTAAATTTTTGACATTTTCAAGATTTTTTGGACAACACCCTTTTCCGAGTAAAAATCGAAATTTCTAAAAAAAATTCGACAAATTAATTTTTGGCATACAAAAATTTAACTCTTTGCGATCATTTTAGTGCAAGAATCATGAAAATTGGTCCAGAATTTCAAAAGTTATGGCGATTTTAAAAACAAAACATGCGAATATGGCGAACTTGGCGCCACGCCACGGCGCCAAATGTAAGTTTTACACGGAAATGTTAATGGATCCTTCATCTACGGTAGAGGTCAACGCCGTCGATTGTAGCCCGCCGGGCCGCCAAACGCCGACACAATTTTAGGCGCCGCTGCGGGCGATAAATTGAATTCCCTATACCTTCAGCATTGAGACGCCGCCTCGCGCCGCGCCGAAAACTGGTGAAAGTTGGCGCCGCCGCAAAACTGGTCAGAGTTGACCTCTGTCTCAATATCCACTGAAGAAATTCATGAGCCTCATCCGGAGAATTCTGTAGCCGGAATTCTAAAATTATACTTTTTTATATCTTACACAATGAAACAGCTAAACATTACATTATGCTCATTTTTAAACTGAATTAAGATCAGCAAACTTATTCACTTCAATAGAAATCTCGGCGGATTTTTGATGAGCATGAATAGTTTTGGAAAATGGCGATGACTTGAACTGGTGACGAGTTTGTAGGCGGTGCATATTATTAATAGCCGCTTGATCGAGCTTGTTGGGCTACTAAAAACGAAATTTTATTTAGAAGGGAGAGAGCAAAGAGGATTTGCAAGACTATGCAGAGGTGATAGATATCAGGAAGAATGCAATTGTGTTCCAGCGGAAAAAGTCAAGGTAATGCAGATTATAACGGAATATGCTAAAATATTGGGCCACATAGTTCAAATGACGTTGTATTAAATAGTGTCGTTCTTGGGTGGATTGCCACCAGCGATTAACCCAAGTTGTGCAGAGCGACTGCCCATCTACAAGCTTGGACTGCATAAATCGCACATGTGCATGCCCCCAACGGGTTTGTTACATACTTGACCATACATGAATGTGAACAATTGCCAATATACTATGTATGTAATATTTAGATTTCTAATTTTAGTGTGAAAGTAGGACTGAATGTGCATGTCAGTACGAAGATCGTCGCTCCTGCGGTCCTAGTGGTTACTGCAACTGCGTTAATTGGGTAAGAATTGTTTACGACGAAGAAAAGATAAATGCATAATTCTAATCCCAGACGAGTGTGTAAATGAGTATGATCTTCATGTGGCGATCTTAGAAATCATCGTAGCGAATAAACTATGCATCAAATTCAAGGAATATGAATGAAGGTCGTCATTTACAAGTAGAGATCCGTATCAATTCCATTACACGGAGATTTTTGGTTAAATATCTACATACATATGTATGTATATGCATATGTGTATACATAAATATGCAAATAGGATCGACATGTTACAAATACATACGTATGAATTTCGGAAAATGTTAAACCTTCAGAATATATTGCCTGGTTTTTGTTAATACGCGAATAATTGAAAACATTGATCCAAATTTCGCATTATAACGATTGCGGGTAATACTTACATAAATATACTCACAGTGTCGCACTGATCAAGGATGCACAGAACGGCGGCATTGCGCAAGTGGAACTATAAGCAGATGTGTTACAGGGTATGGGCGATGCACCCCTTGCCGATTGGAGGTACATACATATTTCTAGAAATATGTATATCAGCGTATGAAAAATTGCACATTTTTTAGTAGTTTAATAGCGTAATCATGTAAATTTAATTATAGTGTAATTCTGACTTGGACTGTGCTTCCCTAAACTGCACAGGCAATACACAGTATAAAAAATGTATCCAAGACGTCTGTTCCTGCGTTCAGGTAAATATGTACATACATGAATTTAATGTTCCTTTTTTATTCCTACGGGATGTTTCACCCTTAGCACCTCTCATCCTCAGTCCTCGGATTGATTATTTGAACCACGAGTAACAAGTGCAAACATATATAAATATGGCCAGAGTTGCATCTGCTGCACTCAATCAAGGGTAGAACACCAAATACCGTTCTCTTCGATCGATTAAACTTTTACCTAGAAATTCAATTATTTTATTTTATTTCAAAGGTAACATTTATTCAGAAATGTGTATTATGGCAGGAAATTGTAGTCTAATATATGTATAATATGCCGAAGTAAATAGCAAGTATTGCTTGGGTATTCAAGATGTAATAATTTTCAAATTATAATAACCGTAGAATTTTTGGCGAGCGTTTTAAAAAAAATTTTTAATGATTTTTGCCTGTTTCGGTGGGCCGTCAAATGCGGCCATGGCCACATCCTGTTTTGTCCTACACTCAGGATCAGCTGTATCTGTGTAAAGGGCATCAAATTCAGTCAATATGTATACGAGGGTTATTCGGAAAACATTTTGAAAATATATGTCGGAAATAGTTGCAGATCAATTTTTTTTTATATTCAGGAAGCCTGAATATATTTAGGACATAGTAAGTTTTTTGGGACCATATGTCAGAAATTGAGTTTATATGTAGTAAATTCGAGAAAAAAACTTCAAAAACTACTATTTTATTTTGGGATTTTAAATAAATTTGAACACTTGGATTTGTGTTTTCAAATACGTAAGCAAATAACAAGCGCTGAAGGTTGGGTTTCTACAACCAACAAAGGACACCGTTTGTTGATTTTCGTTTTTAAAAAAACTTTATAAACAGACATTTCACTTAACGGCGAGCTCTGACGCCGGCAACCTTGTGGTTGTCTTCTGAAATGATTCTCCCAAATTTGCATATAGCAGTTTAGAGAGGCCATGACCCTAAAAATTTTAGGCTTCGTATTATAAATTTGCTACACCGGTTGGCCTTAGATTTAATACCCAAACAAATTTCTTATTTGCAAATCTGACTTGGTTCGTCAAGTTTAAGTTTGAAGCTTATCAGTCAGTCAGTTTCAGTAAGCCAGTTTCAGGTCAATTTCTGATAGATGGTCATGAAATACCAATTTCTAAAATATGTCGGGACTTTAAGCAAAGGACAAAAAATTGGTACGCAACTATCTCGCACATACATACCTATGCTAAGCATTTTCCGAACCACCATCGTAATCGTACATTAAAACCACGACCAACTTAATGTTATTGTTAGTAGCCAGAAAACTGCTTCGCTCCTTCGTTTGTTCACACATTTATAAAATATGAATTGCAGTGTAAGGCTGATTCTGACTGTGCTTCCCTAAGCTGTCCAGCAAATAAACCGTACAAACAATGCTACGGGAATACGTGCACCTGCGTTGAAGTAAACGATTTAAATAACGTTTTCTTCGTTGCATGATTGAATTATTGAAATCAGATGTATGTGTTCGTTATCCTACATATTTATATGCATACAAAAAATTGACACAATACATCAAATTGATTTTAGTGCTTGGAAACCTACCAATGTCCCGATTGTACTGGATTCTCGAAAAAATTGTGTAAGCAGATCGGAGATCCCAAAAATACGTGCACATGTTTGAATCCATACGGCGTAAGGAAAAATAAGATTAAAATATAAAGAATTACATTAAACGTACAGATCTATGGAAATAAATATATGTACAGTGTGAGAAGAATGCCGATTGCCACAACAACAACTCGTATGATTGCGGTTTATTCTCATTGGCACCGCCTTGCTGTTGGAGAAGGTGCGATTTGAGTATGGTGTGCCAATGCAGAAGTTCTTCTGATGCCCTTTTGGGTTGTGAAGGCGGAAGAAACGGATTCGAGGCGCGTGCTAACTGTTAGCAACGCAGTATTGATGCATAATTTGTTTGACAACATTAATTTTTCTTTGAACTTGAAATTTACCTTGACCCTCAAACTGTGTACCTGGATTTTAATAATCCATTTGAACTAAATCTGTTAAATACAAACAATTCTAAATAATAATTTGATTGAAATAAATTGATTTATAAGTAACTGGGATCTGTCGTCTGGTATTTGTTACTTAATTACAAAACCAGATAAAACACACCTAAGGTTTTTCGCTTTAGTTTATTACCTTTTGAAGTTAAACGTTTATTCATACATACATAGTGGCATATTTATGAAGTGTGGCAGGACGGTGTACGGAATACGAAATTACAGATGCAGGCGAGTAGTATTAAGTATATCATATTTCGGGCCACATTTTATTGCGTTGGGCGTCGTTCGTAAATTACGTAACGCAAAATTCCGGATTTTTTACACCCCCCCTCCCCCCGTGTCAGGGTGGAGTAACGCAAACGGGGAACCCCCCACCCCCCCCTCGTAACGTAACCGAAATCTCAAAATTCCCCAATAGCCCAAAGATGCTGCCCGCAACTTAAAAATTCAGTTTTTCTGTCATTATATTTTCAGGCTATAATTTTCTTGTCAACATTTTCAACACTGGGAGAATAAATCCACAAACTCTGTACTAATAATAAATTAGTTGTAAAATATTGCTCTGAGGAGATGGAGCAGTTGTGTTGGCGATGTGGGGATCCCACTCATCATGCCAGGGACTGTAAATCGATGGGCGTGGACCCTAACCTTAAACGGGAAATTCAAAGATTTCGAAAAGCCTCAAATCCACCCAACACCCAGAAAATGTCATTGCAACACAAATTAAACTTGATGCGAACAAGTGCCCAGCAGCAATTGCCACTGGTGAGTCGCTAGTCGTTTTTGATTAAGAAATGAAAAATTAAGTAATAATCATCAATTTTTTTAGATCGCTCAAGTTTTGATAACTTAATTTTTGTTTTCATTTCAGCTTTATGTGATTCAGAAAGAAATCAATCGGCTCCTCGAAGTCTACCTAGACATGCATTTTCAGAATACATATTCCCATGCTATCGACGTCGATAGAGCGGCTGAAGAGATTCAAGATCTACTTGTTGCGAGAAATAATATTTCTCGTGATTGCGATGTGGTTCGAGAACTTGGGTGGATTGCAAAAAGAGTTAGTGATTAATTTCAATCTAAGTGTTATTTATACATTATATTTTCTGCTAACACATTCTCTGATTCTATTTTAGTTCAAATCCACGTTCCCGGAAGATGAAGAAATTAATATTTTATTGTACCGCTGGGAAGATCTCAACGAGTTTCGAAGAAATGTTTCCGATTCGACTTACATAGCACTCAATAATCGAAAAATTGGACTAGGTATTTTCGGGAATATTAATAAAATTAGAGAAGAATTACTTCAGTGGTTGGATGAGGCCGCCGCAAGTTTCAATGGACGTCCATTGCCATTGTTGGAAGCCAAGAAAGAATGCAAAAAAGAAATGAGCGGATTATCGGATATGGTGGCAAAATATGGATACTTGTTCTCAGCGGCCGACCTTCACACCTTGCAAAGTAATGTTGAAGGACTTGAGAAGCGTTGGACCTCGGTCATGAAAATTTACAAAAGCGAGCGGGAGCAGATGAAATTAAAAGTAATATGATTTTTACAACACCCCATGTTCGCACCGATTTTGAACTTATTTAATTGAATATTCTAAATTCTTTCAGGTGGCGTGTTCCCTTTGCGAAGACGATCCGAAGGCTTGGGTACTTAAATGTGGCCACGCATTTTGTAATAAATGCATGAGCAGCTTGTTAACCACTCGTACTACACGCTCTCTACCATTCCGAGATCCGCACACTTTGTTGATGACCACGATGGACATCCAGTTGCCGAAAAATTGTCCATTTTGTCGCGGTCCATTAAGTGGAAGGATCAAACTTTTTCTTTAAAGTGGTCATTGGACGTCCAAAAATTGTAAAAAAAATTTGTAGTTTCTAGTCAAGTTTTGACTGTTTTAAACTTTTGGCAAGAATTGTTACATTATTCATTTATTAAACTCAAATAAATAAATAAACACCAAGCATGCCATCGAATTTAATTTAAAACTGCTAATTAGTCCATTGCTACATCTTAAACTATTTGTTTGTATTATCTGCTTCCCATACTTGTTCCATGTAATTATCCATATTAATCAACGGGATACAATTTGGATTCACCCCATCCACAGGTGGTAAATCGACATGTTCCAAATCTAAATCGTCGACATCGAACCAGTCAACATGGTCACCTTGTAATCGTGCTTTCCAAACAACCATCTTCTCGTGTTGTCGTCTTGCAGCAACTCGGATGGGTCGAATTCGTGGGCTCGATAGAGCAACCACATCAGCATTCAAGGTTGAATGAACATTTTTCATATTGCAGAAACTTTTATGGGAATTCAAACTCTTCACGGTGGCGTGATATATTCCACATTTTGTGCAAGTGCGTGACTTAAGTTGATCTTGAACCGTCGGGCAGCAATAGTCAAATGCCATTTCTCCATGTTTGTCTCGAAGGTTCTTGTCGTCATACGCCAATCTCACATAGAGCGGTAGGAAATGAGATTTCTCTTCTAGTGAGTTACCTGTTTGATAGCTCGCCTCTTGAGATGTGGACAACGGCGCAGGCAAGAATCCTTTAAGGAAAGTGTTCAAGTTGCTCCGGCGCCTCTTGCAACACTTAGCATCGTCACATTTTATAATCTACAATATCAAAATGTATTCATACGACGCCGTATGACGCATTTAGATGCGAATAAAAATTCCTCAGTACCTGAAGTAGATAATGGCTTTCACGGATATGTTTGGAGCGCCATTCTGCGGACCCAACAGTTGGCTTTTCAGTTAATGCACTGTCTTCCGGCTTCACGTACAGAGCAATTGTTGCATGGCCGTCGATAACAGTTTCCGACCAAATACCGGCTAATGTCTCTCCAGCATGCTGAAAATTGTTCTTTTCCAAATCTGAATCGATGGTTTGTCCATTATCATCCAAATGACTCCCATAGTGATCATGCTCTAAAACCAGACCGCAAAGTTCCCGACTAAGGGGAGCCATCCTTCTTTCCACGCGGTTAAATGCACTTCGGCCTGGGGCGTTGGTGGCGATAAACAATGAGTCAAGGTCATGTTCCAGGAAGTGACTTATGGCGCAGTTGATCACTTTGTGATACCTGAAATTACAACAATTTCATGCGACGTCGCATGCATTTTAAAAAATTATTATACTTATTAAAGTTTACCTCGGGTTTTCGTCTGGGCCTCCATCAACTACGAACATCACAACTGGTTTACACTGTCCCTTGTCGTCTTTGCAAAATTCTTCAAACTCATGGAACTTGAACAGTTCTTCAAAATCGCGGGAGTGGGATAACGCGGTGCTGCTGCAATGTTTCCCGCTCCGTATGGTTATAAATGTTGGGCCACCGTATTTCACCGCTTTACGGTCCCCATATTTGTTCTTATCAATTTGTATCATCGCGTATACCGATGGGATCAGCTTATGCTTTTCAGCAACGACCCAGTCCTGGTCTGGAAGTCTGATTCTATATTCCATGTGCATCAGTAGCGGCGATTGTTTATTAGCAGCAGTTTTGCCAATGGGGACCCTGGCCTAAAAATTAAGGAAAACCCTTGAAACAGCCGCAATCCACGGACGTCCGTGCTGACTAACCTTATCATCTTGACTAATAAATAAAACTTGTTGTGGTCCCAGGGTTGCTGCTAATTCTTCCAAGTAACCTATTGCGGCTCGGCAAAACTTCGTATCGGGGTGTTGCTTGTGCAAATCGTTCGTAGCTCTTACCAGCTTTACTGGGACAGTGTTAATATGCCTTTTCCCCTCTGCTGTTCTAGAGCATCTGGGCAGCAGTCGGGTATATACGGCTGGTCGTTTGACCTGGTAACATTTTGGATTAATTGTTGGTATTCGATTATAAACTAGTAAAGGTCAAAAAGTACTTATATTAACCTTGTGACCCAGCCGCTGCAGCTCGGCAGTTAACTCATCCAGCGTTTTTACCGTTCTGATGGAAGTAGATCGACGTCGATCGTCTGCGGCAGAGCCATATGTGGCTATGTCAACAATAGTTTTGAGAAAGTCAGGCTGATCATCTTCAATACGAGGTCTTCCTACTTTTGGACGTTTCTTCAATTGCGCCGCGGCTTCGGGATGATCTTCTTCTAGTTTATCAAGTGCTTTTTTGTCATTATCTCTTTTCCTTTGAGAACGTAGCTGGCTCAGGACTTTTTGTTTTAATTCCTTCTCTAAATCTAAAAGATTGGACTTGGCTTTCTTTAATTCCTTTAATTGCTTATCCGTGGCAATTCCACTTTCTTTCTTTTTACTCAGATGTAGCACGTCATCTTTTAGAGCAGTTATTGTTTTCTGCAACTTATCTTGAGCTGGTGTTTGAAACTGCGGAGAAGTAATTGGGTGAACAGCTAGATTAGAATCCTGTGAAGAATTAACTTCAGAGCTTCCGACGTCGGAAGAAAGAGTGCTTGGAGTCAATGAAGGAATTTGTTGGGTCGCACGTTGGATTGGTTTTGAGAACCCTCTCTATAAAATAAGCAAAAACAATGTTGCTCAAATTTGATAATTTATGCAAATTGATGTTTCGTTGATACCCAAATATTGTCCAATTTGATCTTCTTCTCCTGGGTTATTCCGACCCATTTTGCAATTTCTTTTTCAACATCCAACTGAAAATCTGAAGAGTTACGTTTTAGCTGTTTCCAAATATCGGATACCCTTTGATCCACAATATTATGCTTATCTTGTGGATGTGCAGATTTATGGGCTTTGTGTAGCCTAGTCCAGAGGACCGTGTTTTGATTTGACATTTTTTTAAATTTAAAATATTAGCCATTCATTTTTGTACAATAAACCCGAGTAAATCAAACCGCGCGGCTTGTCAGGGAAAAAATCTCAATTTTACATTTTTGGTGAAAGTACGTAACGCAGCCTCTAGACCCCCCTACCCCCCTCAGGTCTCTCCGTAACCAAAAGCTACTACCCCCCCTCCCCCCTAAGGTGCGTTACGTAATTTACGAACGACACCTTGGAGAAAATACTAGAATATAAATAAAAGAATTGGGGGCGGTTAGGATGAACTGAAAAAATAGGAATTGTGTCTCCTGACAGTGTTGCCAATTTCCAGACAGATTTAATTAGTCCGTGTGAAGAAGCGAAACTTATCTTTTTAAATATGCACGAGGGTACATTTTGAATTTTCTAGATTTCAAGGTTATTGAGGTTAGTTTTTAAATGTGCGACTCCAATGTAGTCAGTATTTTAGTACGCATAAATTGTCTGTATATCAATGCAATATTATGAATGTGCAAAGTAAATGAATAAAGGATTGCAAGTAATTGACATTTTTAATTAGTGTCCATTGAATTTTATCTTAAAAACCAGACGTTCCTAGTAAATCTCAAATTATGGATTTTCAAAGGAATCTCCTCCCAAGTGAATGTATCATTCAATTCGATGCGAAGGGGTCAGTGCGTTACCTCAGATTTCTGTCTTAATATGTTTATGGTCACGAATAAGTAGATTCGTATTAGGGTGTTCGGGTGAATGCGCTATTTTAAATAAGTTATGAAGTGTTAAAGTTTGAAACAATTGCATGATTTTAAACGTGCGGGAGGTCACAAATTGTCACTCCTTTACTTCTCTCGCATCTTGTGAAAATTCATTCACACTTTTTGACTCTTTGTGATATTCATGTTAATTGGCCTTCTAAAAAATAAATATCAAGTAAATAATGGAGATAAATGGAAAATAATTCCCATATTTAATTATTGACCATGAATTGCGTGAAAATCCTACTAATTTCGAGTTTTTCTGTATTCAGAAAACTCAAAAAACTCATTTTTCACTTTTTTCAAATTTTTCAACTTTCCCGATTTTTATGCATGATTTTGTCCAGGCAAAATAGAAAATTTTCAAATTTAATAATAATAATACGAGACATGACGTATGTACTTTTCATCAAGTGATGTAAAGATAAATACGAGATATCTCGAATTTGGTCAAGAAAAGGTTAAACGGATTATTTGTGCAAGTTTTCAACTATTTAATGGTAAAAATCAGTTTCACAAGATGCAAGAGAAGTATATGAGTGAAAATTTATGACCTCCCACACCGGTATAATCATTTTCAAATTTTGGCGCTTCATAACTTATTTAACATAGCGCATTCACCCAAACACCCGAACACGTATCTACGTATTCTTCACTATAAACATACTAAAATTGGCCCGGTCGAAATCTGAGTTAACCTACTGACACCTTCGCATTGTCAGTAGTCTCATTACCTCACAATAAATTCTTTAGAATATCCGTTAAACACGTTTTGCGCCGTCGAGATATCCTCATTATCATCGCTGAATTTTTTTCCCTTAAATTTTTTTTTTCAAAATTAGAAATTAATATATAATATGTATATGTGGCAGGGTTCCATATCTGGAGAATATGGGGGTGGTCAATTTTCCAGAGCCAGGATATGTCAAGGACTAAATTAACAATCTTTGCCAAATGCAATGAAGCGTGGTCGTGAATAATAAAATAGCCTTTCTCCAAAGTTCCACGCCTTTTGTTGTTGATAGAGTAACACAGTTTATCCAAGACTTTCAAGTAATGATGCGAATTCATTGTGCTTCATTTTGGTAGATAGTCCGTTAGTAGAACTCAACTCAAATTCCCAAAAACGGTTTCCACAACTCTGCCCGCCGAGCGTTCTGGTTTTGACTTGATTAGACAGCTTTAACCTCTCTCCAGCCATTGCACTGTGGGCCAGGGGCCAAAAAATGTGGCCATTAAGGCGGTATCTTGAATTGACTATTCCCATATTTCAATGCTTAGTATGGAACCAACCTGTCCTGTCGGAATCTACTCGTTTAGTAGATAAAAATGCCATATCGTAAGGCATAATCCGAATAAGATTGAATAACTGCTTTGAACCACACCCCCTAGTGGAGCAGTTTCGAAATTTCCATCGCAATTTTGACATTGCTTCCGTACGCTGATAAAAACGAT